CTACTGTGTGTGTGCGATGGTCGTATATTCGCCTGCATCAAAATCAAGGCCAATGCTTGCACGTGTACACGCGCAAACACACATGCACACAGACCGATAAAAGAAACCACCACACAGTGGAAGCGACATTTGTGGTTTGAAGTGGCTGCGGTGCGGTTTCCGTTCGTGATTGGCGCGACGTTCAGGCGATTGCCATGTTGGCTTGTGGCAGTGGAAACCTTTTGTCTGTATTTTGGAATGTTATTTTTTGTGTTGTATTTGTATTCTTTCCCCTTTTTTCCAGCCTGCTTATATTAATAGCTTCGGTCTTGGTTACTATTTGTGCCTTTCTTTCACTTCAAATTTAATCGTTTGCTAATTCAGATTCTTTGAGTAGTATCGATCAAACTTACTTAATCGGGGCTTGCACATATGGAGATCTTGACTTCTTTTTTGACAAATCCGGTGTAGTCGGGGAAATAAGACGCTGATTCTACAGTTGATGGTTTCACTTTGTTGATTGTTTGGGCGGAGGACGTCGATTGTGCTGTCCTCCTTATTTCACTTGTATCGACGTTTGCTCGTTTTATAGACGGCTTTGGTAGAGAACCAGCTTGTTTTAGGTTTGAATTGTTCGATGTTAAGCCAATTTCTTGGTCGTCTATGCAGAGCCTTTTGCTGATTCTTCATCTTATTCATTTTTGATTTTAATGAGTTGTCTGCATCTACGTTTCTCACATATGATGGGGTTGTGCACTTCTGTAAATCCTGGCCTTGACGGTCAAGATATTGCTTAATTTAATTGAGATTTACTTTATACTACTGAGGAAGTAGAATTGAAGAAGTGTCTTAGCGGCTAGCCTTTATCCCTCATGCTATATCGTGGCAAGATTGTGGGTGGATCGTTGGCTGTCTTATATGCTGACTCTAATGCACTGTAATAACTGCCGAAACACTGGAATGAAAACATCAGTTTCAAACAGTTGTTATATACTTACACCTCTGCGGTTAAAGCCGGATGTAAAGGTACGTGTCTCCGGTTTAGGTTAACAAGAAACTCGGTTCAGTATCACAGACTGTCTTGGGTAGGCAATCAGTTATAGTATTGTCTGTCAGGTGCAGCGAATTTTGCGAGTGATATTGGGGAATTTTCGCAAGTAGCTGCTGGCTCTTACATGACGGAATCGACCATCACCATCACTGACTTTGGAAGCAACATTTGCTTTCACGTCTTGCATTTGGGTCAAGCAGGATGAACTTTGAACTGCAACGTAATAATTTATCGTGCTCTTAAGTTGCTGCTGCCTCCTTCCTCTCCGATACCTTTAATAACTGTGCAAATATCGTATAAGAGCTGTATTTGGTGTGAAAATGGCACAGCACCTTGGATTTTCTTTACAAAGTAGCAACATTGTCTCCGTCGTTGGATGTCGTATAAAGTCGGCGTGTTTGTGCTTGAGAGGATGGAGTTCTCCTTTGCGAAGTAAACTGTGATAAATAGGGTAGCTCTTTGTTGTAGCGTTGGTACTACTGGCATCGGATTTCTCTTATTGATGCAATTATGCATAATAAATGCGCTCAATTTTGTTGCTACAGACTTCTACTGATCCTGTAATAGCGGTTGATTTCAATCCTGTCGACGCAAATTCGCTTGTCTCCATCGGCAAAAGTCACCTGGCATTTTGGACACTAGAAGGCTCCAATCTCACAAAAAAACAGGGCGTTTTTGACGTGAGTCGAATCCCCATCGCCTAAGTCCCTAAATGCTTATCAAATTGAATGCAACTGCGACAATTAAGTCAGGAGCTTTTCATCGTCACTACTAACTTTCCAGATACATTGTAACCTGTGTAAAATGGTTTCGCACACCACAATTTGCGTTTGGTTTCAGAAACAGGAGAAACCGAAATTTGTGCTTTCAATGACTTTTGCGGAGAATGGAGACTTAATCACGGGGGACTCAAATGGAAACATATTTCTCTGGTCAAGAGGTATTCGTTGTTGAAATTTTGGTCTAGAGTAGTCCAGATTTCAAAGCTTTCTTGCCTTTAGCGGATAAGCACAGCTATGCAGGCCAGTACAATGAGCTTTTTTAGTAATTACTTTGGTACAATTTTGTCTACTCGCTGGTGACCAATGGTCTCACATCCATTTGCTAACAACTTCAAAGTTCAAACCATGAATTGCTACTCTTGACATAGAACCGTTTAATTTGCACTTTTAAGGTTCAAACAAAATCACTCAGGCCGTCTTAGGTGTTCACGCGGGTGGCATCTTTGCCCTTACCTTCAGTAAAACCGGTCGTCTTCTCTCCGGAGGCGGTCGGGACAGCCGCATTGTTGAAATGGACTCCTCTTTGAATCCAACTGGCGTTTTCATTGAACTAAGTGCTTGGTATGGACCAGTGCGAACACTAATTACCGGTCCAGGAGATATTCTCATTGTTGGTACCACTCAGGGTGACATTCTCCAGGTGCGCTTTTGCTTTGTCCTGGAGCTGGCACTTTTATACCCACTGCATTTTGCGAATTTCAGGGTCAGCTTGGGTCGGACTTCAATCCACTGGTTCAAAGCCATGGTGATGAGTTTTGGGGACTTGCAGCTCATCCACAGAGCCATCATTTCCTTACTGGTGGACGCGACGGTAACGTTTTTCTATGGGACTCACTAACTCGTCGACTTGTGTGGGCAGAGAACCTGTCTGAAGAGATCATCTGTGCAACTTTCTACCCGGCCGTGGTGACCTCCATTGCTCCGGTATCCAATCATACGGAGACAGGAGGCGATGAGAACGTTGGAGGCGGTGATCTTGCTGACTCTGTCCCCGTCGTCGCTCTAGGTGCCGCTTCGGGTAGGTGGATCGTTCTTGATGCTGTACTGCATCAGATCATCGCCGCTCACCACGAGAGCTCCGAGCCCATTCAGTGTCTCGCCTATTCGCCCAGTAAGCTCCATTTCCTGATTGTTTCATAGCTACCTCCCAAAGGGCTAATAAATAAAGGGCATAGATTTAGATTTACAATTCGCTTTCTTTCAACTCTAGACGGTCAGTTCATTGCCCTCGGTGGCCGCGACAATAGCATTTACGTGTACAATGTTACCGCTCGCGGAACAAAATACTCGCGATTGGGGAAGTGTTCTGGTCACTCAAGCTTCGTATTGCATCTCGATTGGTCAGAGGATAGCCAGTATATCCGCTCGGTCTCCGGAGACTACGAGCTACTCTATTGGTCCGTCGCCAACTGTCGACAGGTAGGTAAAGCATTCGGAAAATCATATTTTCGTAAGAAAGGTGTTTTTTACTACACCACCTACAGCCTGAGAAGATTCATTTGGTTTGCCCTTCTTAAAAGGATCAAGGAACCTTCGGGCCCTGCGATGAGTGTCGCTTCGGTGGTTCGAGTAATGGCTGGGTGCCTCGAATATTTTTCCTTTATGCTGTTTTAGACTAATGCACTCAAATTTTGAAGCCAAAATAACGGACTCTTTTTAAGCCATTCAAAAAGTTGAAATCTCTTCAACTGTCATTAAGAAATTTTCGCGGGTAATAAATAATATAAAAGGTCCATCGGAAGAGTTAATGGGTTTAATGCATGGAAATTTTGCAATTTAGATTTGCTGTGTTAACTCACCCCAATGATCCTTTTTGGTGGACTACTAATAATGAGAAGTAACACTAATTATCATTGTATGAAGGTACTCATGGCAGTAATCCACATCGACGTAAAGCCTATGTAGATGGAGAGGGCTGTAATTGAAGTTTTCTACTGAAATAGCTTTATAAGTAGCACCGTTTGTTGATGCTTTGGGTTGAGTTGCGCTAAGACGAGCGAAAACCCGTTTCACGCAGGTGGCATCGACAAGTAGCATGCGTGACGTGCGTTGGGCAAGTCAGCACTGTACCTTGGGCTTTGACGTGGCTGGAATTTGGGCTTCAGATTCCGATGGAACTGATATCAACGCTGTCTGCCGCAGCCATTCAACACGACTTCTAGCTACAGCAGATGATTTTGGTCAAGTTAACCTATTCCGCTACCCCACCTGCCAGCTGAAAGTGAGTTAGGCATTCAGTGCTACTTTTTCATCACTTTCTGTCGCTAACACCGTCATTTGAACAATGTCGTTTAGAGCGAACCGCGTTCCTACGGTGGCCACTCTAGCCATGTGACTAACGTGGATTTCCTCTTCGATGATTCGCGACTTATCTCTATTGGAGGTGCAGATATGGCTATCTTACAGTGGGAGGTGATTACCTAGGTCCCCCGATGTTTTCTCTTTCTTTCTACTCACCGAGTTTTCAATCACAGGCTGTGACTCAACACAATTATTACAAAAATTAAACACTTTTTTTCCTTTCACATTTTTTCCTCTTGTCTATCTGAATTTCATTCAAAAAGTTTGCCCGAGGAAATGAATGAATTAATACTCCTCCGGTCCCTCTTCTTCAAATGCATCTTTCCCCCTTTTTTCATCTGGATTTGGTTAATAGTTACGTTTTTGACGTTAATCTTGCGGCTACTTGGGGACCGAAGTTGGGCCATTAAAATGCTCCTTAGAAAAGTTAAAGGCACAAGATTTTCGTTAGACCACATATAGAAAACTAGGATCTCTTTTGACGTTTGGAAGGGATTAACAGCAAGTCAATCACTTCGGTGCCTGGGAGCCTGTTACTGAGTTCTGTTCTGAAATTGTTGTGACACCTAAAAGTACCACGTGGACTACTTCAAAATTGAGGCAGAAATCCCAATTCTTTGCGGATTTGGGCAAAGTTGCCCAGAATACCTACCCGTGTGGTTCAAATGCTATCAACAGAGATCTGTAGATACATTTACATTACAAATTCAATTGAAAAATTTGTCGAAACATTTTTGTTTGTTGAAAAGTGTTTGAAAGTCAATGATATGATATCCAGTGCGTTAAATGGTGGAGCGTCCGGAGTAAATTTCGCATGAATTTCAGTCGTTCTTCTTTGATGCTTTTACACTCACCGTCTGCAACTCCCTTGACTTGCAGTGACGCAGTTCGAGAGCAGACTTATTCTAGTGCAGGATTCGCAAGGCTATCTTTGGTTATTCCATGTAAACGTTGGCCTCTTTTTTGCCCTTTAATAACTAGCCTTTAGACCACGACTAACACGCAGTACAGCTAGACATATATCACGAAAAATTCGGACAACAGACTTGCTAGAGCGTAGGAACATCAGGCCTCCACCGCTAATGATTTAGCAACAGGCTGAGGGGTGGGATCGTTATCTTCTTGTGTTGCTTAACGAACGACTCACGCCAGCATTACAATGTGCTTTAGTGCATTCGCTGGAGCTAGAGGCTAAGATGCTGTAACGATCTTCACTTCGAGGCGAGTTTAATCCCAATCTGCAACAAATTTGTGTTAACTCCTTCAACACTGCTCCATCCTTCGGGGAATTCGTTAGCGATTTGAATCTCCACTACCTATCGTAGCAAAGAATGCTAACCAAGTTTTGTTCTATACTTGATGCACCTCTGCTGCTAGGAAAGTTGTGATGTTCTACTAGTAGGTTCATCTGCCAAGATCGCGCTTACAGTAAAGTATGAGCTGCACAACTCACAAAACCAGAGGCTGACAGTTCCGATGGCGCAAATTATTCGCAATTTCAAATATGTCGCTATGGTGAATCAATAATTCTTCCACAATTAAAAATTGCGATAAGTTCAGAATGATAAAAAAGATGACTTCCAGTAGTGCCAATAGCTATGAGATTTTCGTAGAAAATGGACGACGCAATCAAGAAGGTGAATAATAAGAAACTGAGAAAAGATGTTACACTACGGAGCCATTGTCTTCACTATCATGATGGAAGCAAAACGACTGGCCATGATGAATTGTCCGAAATTCAAAGGGAGATAGACCTGCAGCCTGCACCGCCTTCTCCAAATCCATTTTTGGTGCCATGAAGGCCTAGCAGATAGAGGAAATCTGAAGAATCTTAATAAGAGTAAACTAAAAGAGCGAATGTGTCAATCCAGTCAACTCACCTCTCTAGTAAGAGGAAATGTACCCCAGTGGATGCCAACTGAATGCTTGGCCCTGATATCCTTGTGGATTTCCACAGCCTCCCATGGATTCACGTGTTGGGTCTTTAAAACCCACCTTTCCATTTCAATAAAAAGTCATTAGTTTATTATAACTTAAATTCTTCAGTTTGTAGTAAAATAGATTCTATCATCCTTTCTAACAAAAGAGCACTTCATTACGGTAATTTAAACTACCTTTAATCTTGGGCTAATTGGGAAGGGAAAGCACATTCAAATTCGATTAGTTAAGCTCACCGAGGTTCATAAGCTCCTATCGGAATAGCGGCCACATCAAACGGACCAAGATACCCACCGATTTCTTTGAAAGCATCACAATAACCCGTATCACCACCAAACCAGACACGATGTTTGGGTCCGATCAGGGCCCAGCTTCCCCAGAGTGTCTGAGAGGCACAAACAATCTACTGATTATTGACTGACCAATCAAATTTTGGTCGAACCACCAAACCTCGATCACGCACAGCAAAGCTGTCAAATACAAGGTTTCGTGCTGACCAATGCTGAGTTGGTGTAAAGACGGCCTTGACGCTAGTGTCGCCGATTGGACGCTCCTCCCACCAGAGAAAGTCATGCACACGACTCTCATTGGGTTGATTAACAGTGTTAAGAATGAAGCCACGGCACTTACTGGGAACGAACCAGTAGGCTTGAGGGAAGCGGTCGCTAAGGTCACGAACACTGTTCACGTCTAGATGATCGTAATGGTTATGCGATATGACAACTGCATCAATATGTGGTAAATCCTCCACCTGAACAAAGCGAAATGAACAAAAACTTAAATTAGCACAGAGAAATTAGGATTTGCAGCAATGTCAACAAGCAGGAACAAGGCCGGACTTTGAAAAAAAAGCAGCAACAAGGGATAATGGAAAGAAATCTTTGAATTATCTCACGTTCTGTATAAGAGGAGACGACCTCCTGACTAATGAGACCACATCGACCTTGGGTTAATATTGTCAGAGTGCTATTATCTATCCGCAAACCATTTATTACTTATATCAGGGTCCTTGACACTCACATACTTAAAGAACGCCGTATTTGTGGTGCTTCGTAGACGCAAATGATCCACCGCCAAAGACTAAGCAACTGCGAACAATCAACGAGACACGCCATTTATAATATTTAAATACCTGATTCAGTGTTTTTTTATTAAGTCAGATTACTCTTCCAATTAGTAAGGTCATGCAAGTGACAGCACTTAGGACGTCACAGCCATTGCCTTTCCTTTAAGTAACAATCGATCATATTGTCACATCCAGAACAGACAACTTGTTTAAGAGCAAAACCCACGAAATTGGAGAGAAAAGTAGGAATCTTAGCTTGCACCGATAAGGCCTGTATAAATTGTTATGACGTCAGTAAAAGTGGTATGCAGGTGTCCCATCACCAACGTCGTAGGACTGAATCAGCAGGCACTCGAAAAGAGGCCAGCCAGCACAGTAATCATAGCAACAAAGCAATTCGAGCGAGGTAAGCATTTCGGATTTTCGGCTTTATACCCCTTGATGGAGATTCTAATCGTAAACGCTCAACTCAGCTCTTATTATGTATTCTTACAGATCTCTACTACTATCCACACGATTTGCACAATAGGTCTAAGTTTCTGAAAAATAACCGACAGGAAAAGTACTGCTGAGAACGATCCATTCAATCAAAATGCTGCACAGATAAGCATAACAAAAATTCGTCTACAACCCTTCATACACCTTCCTAGCAGGCCAAAATTTGCCATCAGTGATCCTCACATTCTCGAACATGGGAAAATATTACTAATTTCACAATTTCATAATCAGCTACAGAGTGAAACCCATCAAATTCTCGAACCCGTTTGTCAGAGTATGAACACATCCAGATCATGCACCAAAGATCAGACTAGGCTTCGATATCCCTTGTGCTACGGCTTTATCTTTTTGGCGTCTCTTACCAATTATCTACTCCATTTGCGATGAACCATCCACCCGTTGAGCGAAACTCAAGTTTGGAATGCCTGTCAACAGATTGTACCAATTTTCCTGTCTGTTCTGTTTGAGCATTCCCCGACGCATTCATTCACAACAGGTGACCTATCTTCACCACCTTCAAAACGGAAGAATGTAAAATTGGTTCCCTCATCGCTGATCTAGAGCTGAAATACTGGGATGAGATCGGTTCGGGACAGTAACAGATGCAAACACTGCAAGATATGAATTGTACAAGATCCTTTTGTTTGCATAAATACGACCAACGATACGGCTCCATGCTCAAACGTGTCACGTTAAAAATGAAAAAAATTGTCGTGGAAAATAATCTTCTGATCTTTTGCTTTTGTGAAGGACCCAGCTTTAGATAGTTATGTAAGCCACTGGACTGATAGTGCCACTTTCCAAGTTGGAAAGCCTACCTTGCAGGGAGAAGGTCGATATCTACGTATCCCAAAGTGTTGGAAAGGTGAGCAGCGCTCAGAGAAGATAGGATCACAGAGAACACGGATACCATCGATGTAGACTAGCACGGAGGAGTGTCCAAGCCAGGTAACACGCACTTCATCACTGTTCACTTCGAATTTGGGCCGATAGACGGGTAGTTGAGAATCAAGTCGAGGATCAGAAGGCGAAGGACACCAATCAACATCCCCGGGGGTAAAAAAGAGGGCAAACGCAGTGCGAAAACGTACGTCATCCCAAGTTGACCAAGGGTTAGCAAAACGCCCCCAACTAGTGACCCTCACTTGAGTTAGATTCCCCGCCATTAACTGTTATGAAATAAAAAAAAACCCTTGAGAGCAGAGAACAAGGTCTAACAAACTGCTACGTCCTCCTCTGACCGCACATATGTGAGAAACATCGAGCTTTGGATCTGAAGTAGGTGTAAAAGAGGTGAGTTAAAAGCGGGTAGGATGAAGACCAAATAATAAAAATGGACAAGGAGCATGTATTTATCAACTTTTGGAAATTCATCACACGACTTAAGTTTACAGTGAAGACATCAGTGTTAGCAGGACGTAAACCTAGTAATCACAATCGAAAAGGTCACAGTAAAACGACGAGAGGAGAACATGTGAGCCACTTCGGAAATGATGTTTAACGAAAAAGCGCGTACCGAACATTAAAACTGGAAAGAACTAGAGATCACAACTTCTACCAAGATATTTAGATCTGTGTTAAGAACATAATAAACCCGAATCGCTTCGCCTTAAGAAGTCCAGCGCATGCACGCAGAATATCGAAAACCTAAGCACCAAAACTATCGCAAAGCAGAGACGAAATGACCAATGGCTACCCAAAGTGAGAGACACACAAAATAACTCACCTTCACAAAACATTCGAGGAAATGCATTTACTTTTGTTAACAGCCAAGCACAACAGAAGCCAGATAAAGGCAAAAACGATGAAAATATTAAGCATTTGATAGAGGAGATCCTTTAAGCCACGATAGGGCGTGGTGCAAAAAAACCTACTGGGGAAAAGACACAATCTGACACTCCCAAAAGAAGGATCTCCCTTGCGATTGTGCCAAACCAGAGGAGAAAAATTGATGGGTGCGTCAAGAAAGCCATCAGTGACCTCAGAAATCTCTTAAACACCAGCAAAAGCACATGACCAACGGTTGACACCTACTTGCGAACTACGAACGCCGCGGGCCAATTGAGTAGTTTGAAGTTGAGTTAAACATTTTATGAACCTTGTTCGGTCATTTACACAATCTGATTTTAAATATAACTTATACAATTTTGTACTATAAGTGCAAGACGAGTTGGATGCTAGATCCTTTAAGTAGCAAATATTTAACCATGCGGATGTAGATCAGAATCCATGAACCTTATGCGTACATGCTATATTTGTTCTGAAGAGCCACCTCCTGTAGCGTCTAGAATTCTTTGGGGGGGTAAAATATCGACTGAGTTTAGCACAATACAAGCATTTCGCAAAGGGGAATGGTTTGAGTTTTGGCACGGGTCGCAGGTCATTCGACTCGCCAACCAAAATCAATGATCAAAAACAAAACATCGCATCGATATTGCTATAGTAAAGTCCATTGGGCAACACTCATCTACATTTTATGTCCTACTAAAGAGAACACAAGAGTGTCAAATATTTTGGGACAACCTTTTTTAGCTTTTAAATGTAAGATGTCGATGAGGGGTGAAAAGTAGAGAAAAGCGCACCAACTTTATTCACACCTGGGAGATGTCACTGTTCTTCTAAAAAGAGTTTCGAGATAATGTTCAACATCTTACCTGCAATGCAAAGTTATGTAAGTATTAGAAATTGCATTCGTGATGATTCTCCCACAAGACCAGGTTTGCTTCTCCACTTTAGAGCCCAAGGCTTCTCATAGGGTGGAAGAAGACACAAGTGAGGTTGAACGCATGTATTCCGAAGACGAAAGGACAAATGGGACCTGAACATGGCCTGAAGGCCAGCCCACGTGTACAGGGGCCAGAGAAATTCTAAAGTGACAGCTAAACGTCATATGGCCACATAAACTAAGTACTGCACTGCCCCTCTCTTCATTTGAGCGAAGTCCTCGGCGCTCCCCTTTGGTACATCTTCCGCGACAGTCATCACAACGTATTCGGCACTACAAGAAAGCACCCATGAGCCATCTGCGCCATTCGACAGACATGACAAGACTGAGGAACCGTACCTGGTCTTCTCGGCAGCCTCAACTGGGTCTGGTTTTACGTCCGATCCGACAACCAGATCCGGGGCCGCCTACATCCGATTGCTTCCAGAAATATACGGTGTAACTCTGGTCTAAAACAGATATGTTATGGGGAGAACGGGATGAGCTACTGTCCCGTATGCATGGAGAATCGTGGTGTAATTTCCGACAACAAAGCATTACACCCACCTTCCTACCATAAGATGCACTTTAAAGTCACAACGGATATACAGGCTCCTCGCCCTTTTACCACCGACCTCTGCACTTCCCTTGTAAGTTTCCTTTAACCATTAAGTGATTTGCTTTTGTAGCGGCCTGTGTAATACTTTGTTTATGTAACTACTTGGCGTTTGGCGGTCACTTTTGGATTTGTCTGTCCCCTGTACATGTGGACTGGCCTTCGGGCCATGCCTAGGTCCATTTACCCTGTCATTTTCGGAATATATGTATCTCGGGATGCTACAGCCTAAGCCTTCTCATTAGCTAGAGAAAGACGCTAATTTGGACTGAATGCATTTATTCTGGGAGAAGGAGAAGGGATTGTGGTTTGGATTGGCCCATAAGCCAGTTTACGCGTACAAGGCAGACGCCAAATTTACCGTCAGTCATACAGGCATTGCACTTTCCTTTCTTTTTTAGTAGCCCGACTTTATTTTTTTATGGCCCCTAATGTTGTTTTAGTTAGCTAGTTATTGGCTAAGTAGGAGGGGTTTGCTGCCACTCTAAACGGTGATTTGTCCCAGGATAAGTAAAACTTTCTGGCATTGTTGGTTGTCACTTCTGTATTTCAATGGAAAAAGCCGGTCAGCGCATATTCCCAGGCATGTCATCGTCTTGAAAGATAAAAGTCCAATCGGTGCGCGGGTCGTAAGGCTGTGTAGGAAAAGCTCGCCATAGGTGTAGATCTTAGTACTGTTTTTTTTTCATAATAAGAAGCACCCAGCATCTCGACCCTTGTTTCATCTGCTTTTTGTCTCGAATGTTCTTACACAGTTTAGTAACATTCTACCTACAACGTTACCCTTGATTGTTTTGAATCAAGTCGACGGCTTCATATCCTTGAATTTACCAGCTGAAGAGATCTGGAAACCTATTTTGAAGTTTTGTGCGCTCATAGATTCTGCCTCATGCATTGTTGTGTGGCACTTAACTATTCTCATCGCATACCACTTTCTAATCTTAGTTAACAGTAGAAAATTCATAATAGAGATATTGAAGGACACTTTTGTCGTTTAATGTGCCAATTCTCTTTCACCATTTTTTTGTAAGCTTCAAACGTCTTGATTTCCCCGTCGGGTAAAGGGTAGAAATCTGCTTGTGAAAGTTTTGAGACACCAGCGTCACTTTCTCTTGGCGGACAATGACATCAGCTCAGCCATGGGTTTACCGCAGCCCATCCGTTTGTTAATTATGCCGTTGGCTCTGCTGCGATATGGTTAGTGTTTCAGTCATGAAGTCCACGAGTAATAAACCCTAGCTCTTGCATTTGCATAGAAAGCGGAAAACATAATGACTCCTTCGTTTGTCAGATACCTTGACAATCGAATTCCTTTCTGGGCTTCCAATAATTACGACATGCAACGCTAGAAAAGCACTCATTTGTTCCGCTTTCAATCTTCGTTTTAGCATACGTTTAGTGTAGACTTGAGCCCCTCCAGCTTCGTAGAAAACTTCATGGACCAATGTCCCATTCCGATGAAACCAATGCACCGACCCAGATCTCAGTTGACTGCCAGGGCTGTGGAGAGAGGCCTCATTTGTAAATAAATTTCGATGGGGTCCCCTTAAAAGTACTTTTAACAGCTCCAGCTGAGCTACCACTATAGATAGTGGAGACCCTACCCTTTTCCCAAGCAGTGGGTCAATAAATGGCACCAAGAGTTTTAATAGAATCTTGGAGTAAATGCAGGCAGCTCATTTGCGTACCTCCTTTTATCCAGAAGAAGCGAAGTCTATCAGATGGATAAAATATAATGCTATTAATAATTTCAATTAAAAATGCCTTTCTATTAAGCACAGCGATTATGCAAATTGAATGATTTGATAAGAAAGGGGTAAGAGAACAAAAGAAGGGGCATCATTTCGCAAGAAGGGCATTAAAATTACATAGTTAGAAACAGGCGGTGGAAGGATGGCGTCAAAAGGTCACCCATCAATTGGCGAGTAGGCATCTGTAGGTCGGAGAGAGGTCAATTTCGGCTTAAAATTTTGTAGTAGATTCCACGTAGCTTCTGCAAAAATCAAGAGAAATAAGTACACTAAGGACGTGCCACTAACCCCACAAACCTTTCCACTCTTCCATGGTGAGGTTGTCAGAATCTATGAGATCGTCTTTGAGTGGTTCTCCCACTGGTTCGTCACTCTCATTGTGATATTCCGCAAAGTATGGATGTGCCAACGCCTGTGCTGCTGTAAGACGTCGATCTGGATCCAAAACTAGCATCTTTGATAAGAGGTCCAACACTAGACAGGAATATAGGTAACATCAAGCCTCTCAACAAGATAAAGGTAATCAAAAAAGCAAGAACCGAGCCTCATAAATGCGAAGAACAGCGAATAATAGGACGCCCGATTTCTAAACATATGCCGCAGATTCATTCTGTGAAGAATGAAAGGATTTTGCATGATCTGATTGCTCCAGAAACATGGGGTTAGCCACCAACGACAGAGGTATAAACATTTATATTCACTGAGATCAAAACATTTATCCAAGTTAAGTGGACAGAAGTCAGAAGCTAAACATCAAAAGGCCTCAATAAGAACGTGAGCAACACGATCCATTTTTGTATGCTTTTGTAATAAATACAATCGACAATTTTTGGCTATCCATATGCACAATCGCCTGGCATTGACATCAAAGCAAGATATTCGAAACTAGAAACTACATATTCTTTCATTTATAACCCGTGCATATGTATGTCAGAGGCGATCTTTAGAACCGCCATCGAGTGGAGCATCTGAACACAGACGGGGCGGATGCACGCAGCCAGTGATTTGCAAGTATCGTCCACAATGCATAATATCAAATTCACTTAATAAAAAGCCACTTTATTCCAGAGCTCAAGTTCTGATAAACAAATCCTTTTCCAAAGAGAAGACTTGGATGGATTATAGGAATTACCCATAAGTATAATCACCGCATGAGTACTTAGAAGGCAATCATGCAGGTATTTCAGAGAAAGCAATCTTAGTTGACTGAATGATGCGTTTCGCACGAAAGTGAGGGACAAGTAAGGAAAAAGGTAAGAAACAGTTACCCCTATCAAGGCAATCACAGAGAAAAACCAACAACTCACAAGTAGGCGAAGCCCAAGGAAATGTATCTTTGAGGTCCTTCTTGCTAGTATAGTTAAGTTTCTCAATAAATTCTCTTGCCTATTGATGGGGAAAAATAATATCAAATACTTCCATAAAACGAAAGTTGGGATGAACGGTAAAGACGACTTACACTGCTGCTGGTGATTTTTTGCATCAACTCCTCGTCCGGAGTACCCACGATGCTCATGATCTGTTTGACCTGATCGATGTGGTTCAATCCACGAAAGAGAGGCTGCCGCGTTTTCAACTCAACCAAAATGCATGCCACTGACCAAACGTCGACTAAAAGGATGGAAAATATCAACAAGAACAGGGAGTCATATCAAAGTATTTTATAGGCTCGCAATGCAGAATCAAAATGTGGGATACAAACAACAATAATGTACGCCTTCGTAGCGAAGGTGTACAATAAGTGGCCACCTTCTTGGGAAAATACGCAAGGTAAATGACGCTCTTGAAGTTTTGGCAGTAAGTTTCAACGTTCTACTCCTTAAAATAAAATAGAATGTGTTTAAATAGCCTAAAAATGAAGGGAAAGTGAAAGAGATGAAAGCGCTGTAGGAAAATTTGCGAAATGCGACCATTTTTTCTGAGCGCGATTGGGCCGAAACTGTCTAAAAAGGGATTAAAGACTACGACAGAACCTCAAATGGTTAGGATTTACTAGTAACATCAGCTAATAGCAACAACTTGCGACGAGTGATGAAACTTGATCAATCCCGTCGAAGGCATTTTACTTGCTAGAAGCAATTATATGCACAGCCGCCTGAATGAAACAGGCAATGAATATCTCGGACAGCTTTTGAACGGAAGTATTTTTCTTGGGAAACGCTTATTTTATTCACCTTGAGGAGTAAATAAAAAAACAGGATTCGCAATAAAACTTGCATGACTCTCCCAATGAAATTAAACGTCTGTAATAAGTCCGATAAATTAGGCCAGATAAATGCCATTTCCTTTTAACCGACTTTCGAACAGAAACAATCTTAAAAGTCCGGACCTAATGTTCTAAAGGGAACGAAAATTTCTTTTACACAAGCTGAACCTGTAAACGGAGAATTTGGTGTAAAAAGCACAACGTAACACAACAAAAGCGAGGGATAAAGTGCGAAAATTAAACAAAAATGTAGAGATAGCTCATAGAATGCGATGAAAAGTTTATGAGAAGGAATGTTAACTTTTGAAACCCCCGCAAAAGCTGGAACAAAGACCCAGGCGCCATGACCTTAAGAGGTTGTAATTATGTCCTCGATGTCAAACTCCAGAACCTGAAAGTGATTCCTAAGCTCACATTTTGACGCACAACCTCGGATGCCTTTTAAGTCCGCTTAATACCAGTGCCTCATGCATGTACGGTTCAGATTTTGCAGAAAGCAGAGTCTCCAATTATAAATCGCACATTTGGAAAAAAAAGACTAGTAAAAATGATGATGTCGGGCACCCAAGAAGAAAGCGTCCGTCGGTGATCCCATTTTTCGAACTCGATTCTCCAAGGAACGATTTTCCATATCGGGCATGCTAAGCACCCCTTAACCTCCCCATCCATGTAGAATGCCGGCCTCATTCAAGAATATTAAATGACCCAAACACACGCATTTTTCCTGCAGCAATTGTTTCACAGCTAAACTTATTGCAACAGTGACATAAAAAAACGATGAGCGATAAGCGGCAGATTGTTAGCATGTTCTATCGGATCCCACAATCCAATTAGCTCATCACGTCACACAGAGACAGCAAGGATCAAGTGGCTTAGCGACACCTCTAAAACACCGCAACACGGATGAGGCCAAAGTATCATAATGCACTGCGGAAAGACTGTTAAATGCCACCTTCAGAAAAATCTGATTTCGCTACCTTTGCTGAATAGCATAAAAGATAAACATCGCAGTTGCGTTGAATGAAGTGAGTAGACAGCTCTTTTTATGCATTCGATTCGTTTCTACCTATCAATAAATTATACTCAATTGCATTGCCAGATCCAAGGAATAAAGCTCAGATAGAGGAAAGTTTCAATCATACCTGAGTCGTTATAGTGCATCCAGTTGAGCATGACCTCAGGCGCCCGGTACCATCGAGTGGCAACGTAACCTGTCATAAGGTGATTCTTTTGACGTGCCAAACCAAAATCAATTATACGCAGTTCCACATCGGAATTCACTGCGATGTTGGAGGGTTTCAGATCACGGTGGATTATGTGCGCACCATGCATGTACTGTAGGGAAGAGGAAATGATGAAGCAACTACAAGGCAGATGGAGTTCCCAATTATACACTAGCGGAACAGCGCTATTGCGATGGCTCTAAGTAGTAACGAATGCCAAGAGCAATATCTGAGGTGACGTGATAAAAGAATTCGGCAGTCCATGAATTTCCAAGATCATAAACAACAGCAATCGAGATAGGACGCCTAAATGGTGTAACTTTAAAGAAGACCATAGTTTATGATAGCTCTCCTCCCAGGCCACGACCGAAGGTAATCATACCTGCAAGTTGTTAGTTTAGTAATGGGGGTTAGACACTGTAGGAGACAAGTAATTGTATGAGAACAGTGAAGATAATAGGTTAGAATGGGTTGGACGACAGAACAGACTTCGACAGAGGAGGAAACAATGAAATGACTTAAAATATAAGAAGAACTAAGCGATAATGCATAAATATCACAAGTCGAAATATCCTCTTGATGTTAACCTCACAGGAATGCCTCTGTGGTGAGCGCCACCGATACAATTAAGAGTGCAGATACAATAGAATATCGAGTAAAATCACATTTCCACTAGGGAATTCCACATCTCTGAGCGATCAAGTTACCTTTAGTGCACGGAGCATCTGATATGCAAGAAAGCAGATTTGATCATCAGTAAGCACTTGCTGAGCAACAATAGCGCCCAAGTCAGCGTCCATCAGGGGTGTGACAAGGTACCTAAACAAGAAGCATCCATGTGACAGCGCCGATGCATGTGTAAACGACAAAAAACATCTTTACACTTCTTACAGTTAATGTGATGACTGCTTTTAAGATACCCCGGCATCAATCCAAATTGTTTTCATAAATAATAATTAAACCAATAAGCTCACTCGTCACCTGGAAAGCTAATAACACTAACCCAAAAACAACCAACCACTTGAAATAGTGCGATCGGATAAAAGAAGCATTATTCATTTCCTATCAAACAACTTGTCACTGACATACTGCAATATGTGCACAAAAATAATGTCGTATCTTTAGGGGAATGAGACGCGAAGTTGTCAGGGCGTCTGCATCACCAAGGCTGCAACAAATAGATTCCCGCTAAAGTTCACAAATATTAAACATAATTTAATACTCAGGTTGGTTACCTACTTTCCTTTATTTGAAGCACTAAATAAATAAAGTTGACATGAAGACAACTGTGAGGCCGGCTCCTTCCTTCAAGCTTCGGGGAATCACTACCGCGTCAAAGATCACCAGGTGAAAGCCCAAAGGTCAGCATACACCTAGATGTACTTTCCCAAGGAGGGTTGTAAACCCTCCCTTATTAACCCAAAAATAACACTTAATGGTGCAGTAGTTGTCAATAGAAAGAATACTTTATTTGGCACGATGACAGACTGTGGTCTTAAAATGAAAACAAACGGGTACTGTTCGTCGCTCCTTTTAACAAAGCAGGTATAATGGCTAATGGCAGCACGACGATGTCCAAACAAGCGCTTGCACTAGTTAATTTTTTTGTGGGAAAGTGCGAACTAATTTCGGTAGCCAAATCGAACTAAACCACAGAGAGAGGATTAAAGAGTGAATGGACCTTGAAAAACCGATGACAAACAACCAGATGCTTAATAGCGACATGATTTTGTTACTCATGTATGAAAAAACAAAATGCTAGTTCCGTCGTCGGTAGGACCATTCAAATGATTTGTAGCAACCAGACAGGATAAATACCACTTCTTGCTTACCCGTGACACAAGGCCGTCTGCCTTGCGTAGTCAATTTCAAAGAACTAAAATTAACTTAAAATATCCATAGGATTTGGATATGGAGAAGCATTACTAAATAACCACATCGGAATGGAGAGATGGAGGTTGAAAATTGGCAGGAAAAGGAAATAACTAGGTCAACGTTGATCTAGAGGTCAAGCAGAAAAGTAATGCATAAAATGCAGGATGCGAAGCCAACTTGTGCCTAGACGGGACAGAATGATAAAGTGCAAAGACAACACTTTAACTAACAAAAATCTTAAACTTATGTGCACCCCAATAATATTAAGTTGGACGATGCAAAACAACGGTTGTAGGAAGTTGACAAAACTTCGAATATTAGACAATATGAAAAAAAAATTAGCACGTTGACTTCTCTCAAAACTTAGAAGCAAGGCCAGATTTATTAGCTGCAATAAAATATTAGCATTAATCAATTAAACAATGAGAGACTAGAGATTAAGACGAAATGACAGGTACCAAATGGAAACTTGATGAGACTTACACGTCTTCAAAAGTCTCCAAGGAGGTTTGCGGAGTAAATGCATCGATGAGACAAATCACCTACAAAAAGAAACAAGTGATAACTATTACGAAATGGAGCCAAAAACCAGTACGGAGAGCATGAACAACGCACGTTTTCATGATCCATTTGAGCCAGAATGGCTAACTCCCGGTAAGTGCGCTTGGCAAACTCTGCATTCTCAAAAGGCCGGTCCAGTTTTTTTATGGCCACCTCCCTCTGCAGGTATTTGTCAAGAGCAGAGCTGTAACGTAAATATCAAGCAAGAGGGTTGAGATGAGTAAACACTACATGATCATGTTCTGTAAGGCTTCGTAACTACCTGACAGTGCCGTAGGCGCCGTGACCTGCGACCATGACGGAGGTGTAGCGGTCCGGTAAATCCCACCGCAGTTGATTTAGCTCAACGGGCACAAATCGCCGTTCTTAGAGAAAAATCAATTTGGCAACATCTGACAATTTTGTACAAAAAATATGTCGCATAGCAGAGCATCGATTCGGAAGGGAATCATGTAGGCAATTCCAAAGGAAATGTGAAATACAGTGCATGTTTGTACAAGATTAATGACCCACATACCGTTTACGTCAGGCATGGCGGGGAGGGATTCTACAAACCCTAAAGACAGCAAAGAAATCGTACAATACGTACAAATAGGTGAGATAAAGAGAATAAAACACCAATAGAGACGTCAAAATATTAGCACAAGAGATTCGCAAAATTTTACTAAAATACGAAACTGAGCAAAACTATACCATATGACACAAGAACAAACAAAAACAAACATTAAACGTAAGAAAATAGTAGCTGCGACACGAAGGCTTAGCCATATCAGAGCATTAACAAGTATGACCACAATCCAAATTCACTGAATGGGCGGTGAATTGAGTTAAAGGCACGACAATCAATGCCATAAATATAAAGCTAAAGGTAATAAGACAACACAAGACACAGATTTGATAAAACGTCACCTAGACTAGGGGCTTAACTGACGAGAAGAGGTGGCTACCAGCCTCACCACCAGCGAGGATAATAACTAAGCACCGCGCGGAAATGACAATAAGATAACGCGTTTTTATGTATATAAAGTGAAATTATACTTATTAAAAATTGGACAAGCCCGTTTTATGCATTTGTCAAGCATTACTGCCAAAAAATGTCGATAAGTTTAAAAACTTTCCCTTTAGCCCTGTAAAAGAAAATACAAGTACATGGGCTTATCTGGTTCAAATTTCGGAAAAAATTATATACCTTGTTATGCTTTAATTTTTAAAGGTGCCAAAGAAAAGTGCTCATACTTCTCGAGGCGAACGGGGAGCCTAAGGACAAAAGATAGCATAAACCACGGGCAGAACAAGCGTGTTCAACAGCCTGAAGAAAGTCAGAGAAAGCAGTGCATTTTGAGATAGAGATAAATCTTTATAAATGACAAACTATAAACACATCAGTTTGTCAAGCGATGGATGCGCAATAATGCGCTTGCATAACAAAGCGTCAGAGCAATTCAATACTACTCGGCCATATCTTTGATAATTTACTGTAATACTTTGTTTGTGTGGTTAACTGGTGGCCGGTAGCTACTCTAAGATCCGTTTGGCTCCTATTCGCGCGGGGTTGCCTTCGGGCCAAACTCAGGTCAAAACTGTTTGTTCTCTTTAGAATGGATGCATTCAGATCTATTTGCTGCCTTTTTTACACTGCCGAGAGGCTCGGGACGCTGCGTTCCCATTCCAATTTATTCGCTTAGAATACAAATTCGGTCCAAATAGATTCAAAGATTTATCTACTTGAAAGTCTCGAGGCGTTACAATTGCAGCGTCCCGAAGCTTCCCATGGGGTAGTAGAAGGCATAAGTAAGGTTGATTACATATTTTTTGAAGACAACAGGAGAAATGGGGCCTGAGCGTGGCCCGAAGGCTAGCCCACGTGTACAGGGACCAGACAAATGCTAGTGTCCACCAAACATCAGGTAATCACATAAACAAAGCATTACAACAATATTTTTGATGCCATTAAATTGAATTGATTGCGACACTTCTGCTATAATCTAATAGTAATGCTACATTAACCTACATTTTAATAAACTACTCGTACAGCAAGCTCAGAACTCCTGTAGCATCGGTAAGGCAACTTTTCGATTACATCGCCGTCGTAGCAGCAGAACTTACTGCTTGATGTTTCTCCTGGAAAAAACATGTGATGTCACCGCGTCGAAGATGATGAAGCCCAGTATGCCTTCTAGTTCGCTCATCCTTATTATCTGTTAGAACACTTTGTTTCCCATTTTATTTGTGGAAGTCATTAATACCGTAAAATACAACTTCTCATCTCGATAGGACTCATAATCCTTTCAGTATACCATTAAGCAACTTGCAACAAGTACCTAGTTTTAATTTGCTCTTGCACACTGAGGGTGTCACGAAATGATGCCAGCGCGAAGGGTTTGGCAGTTGCTCTTCCTTTCATTTTCTAGGATTTGTGTCTTGATGTTATTAAGGCTATTTTAATTCTCGACAATGAAGGGAGGCGGATAATTGTTAAGGTTTGAAAGCACATCCTTAAATCCATATATAGTATTATGATAACACATTTCCATCGCTAAAGGCGCAGTTGGATTTTGAGAAGAAGCTGTTTTCAAAGACTAACAAAAGTGCATATGGTAAGAATTTGCTAAACTGCCTTCTATTCCGAAGCTGAAATCACCCTTTTTGAAGGGACTACCTGCGTTCATCGTACAACATCAGACATCTATTTCTATATAATCGGCGATGTTAACGAAAACGAGGTTTGCCTTCGATTTTACAACTCTGTCGAACTTTAGCTAATGCTTATGAATGCGCTTACGTGTTTGCATGACTCGATCACCCAAATTCTCCGAAACAATCTGGAAAAGAAGACTCTTCTTGATAACCTCGATCTTGTCTACCTGGCTGTGGACGAATTGTGCGACGGGGGGTAATTTCATTGTTGAAAAGAGAACAATCGCTTTAGGATAATCATGGAATGCGACTCCTCTGCCTTAGCTTCGCGAGTTGGAGTCAAACCCGAAGAGACATCTCTTAGTGAGCAAACTGTTACGCAGGTATACCAGTCACAACTGCCTCTTACCGTTTTTTATTGTTTTCCCGCCTGCAATACCGATCAAATCATATTTATTTTAAGGCAATGCAAGCCGCCCGAGAGCAAATTAAAATGGCCCTTCTGCGATGAAGTAGTGAATAGTTTTAAACTGTGTTGTATAAACTTTTGGTCTTCTGATGGGTTTCTATGAAAACCGTAAGGGCATGGAGAGAGCTTAGCAATAGCCTCCTTTTGTACGCGAAAATACTGTAGCGGAACTAAAGATTAGGGTCGGTTTGTGTTTAACTGAGAGGACGGGAACATACGACGGCCATGAGGAGTCATTTGCACTTTGGAGAGGGGAATTCACATCTAAAGGCTTTCGAGCTTCTTGATTGTTGTGTTGTCGAGTCGTTATTAGCTTTTGTTCTCAGTGAGGGCCAGTTTTTCGGCTCTGTAATTGCGTAGGAAGTTCCAGGTTGCCTCTGAAATAAGGCAGAGGTGTCTTGGAGTGTTTGGTATCACAGTTTCATAAAGCACCTTTTAAAGTATAGTGGTACGAAATAAATAAGTGATACGCTTCGTCTAATATTAATGCACCTAACTCGTGATTAGGAGCGCTTTCCTACAATCTCGATCGTCGGTAACAAGTAGCATGAGAAGATATAGGAGGAAACGTTTACCTTTCCATTGATCGCTAGTCATTACGTTGGACGAGATAAAGTTATCTTCAAGAGGTGTGCCTTCTTGTTCGTCAGTTTCGTCATGATATTCGGCAAAGAAGGGATGTGCTAGAGCTTCTGATGCTCTTAATCGACGGTCGGGATCAAGAACGAGCATCTTTGAGAGGAGATCCAACACTAGAGAACAAGATGGTTTGTTCTCAAATACACAAAACCCATCGCTGGTGTAATTGTTTCATCAACACGATAACTGGATTTTGTGCTGTCTTAAGGATATCTACACAATGTGAAATCTCGACGCTTTGACTGATCTATTTTGATTCACCTTTCATTAGCTGAACTTACTCGCGCCTGACGCCCACGGAAAGACGTCCTTAAGATCACGCCTTGGTGGCAGATTTAAGGACTCAATGAATGCTCTAGCCTAAAATAGAACCAGCATCAAAAAAATACACCAATTCATAGGATGCAAAGAGGATTTGGTGCAAATGGTTACGCTGTCACTGCTGATCTTCCGCCGAAAACCCTCATCTGGCAGGCCTACCACAGTAAGTATTTCCCCAAGAACTTGTATCGCGTTATTGGCACAGAAGAGAGTTCTACGAGTTTTCATCTCTACGAGAATGCATGCAACTGACCAGATGTCGACTAAAAACAAAAAAAAAAAAACAGACATCGCGAAGTACCAAGTTTGTCCAAAATATCTACCTGTATCATTGTAGTTCATCCAATCTGCGATGAGTTCGGGCGCCCTATACCATCGCGTTACCACGTACCTCGACATGTTCTCATTAATCAGGCGAGCCAATCCAAAGTCCAGAATTCGTAGATTGCAGTCTTCGTCTACAGCTATGTTCGTGGGCTTCAGGTCCCGATGAATAATGTTCGCACCATGCAGATACTGGAGGAATTGTGAAGGTATTTCGTAATGCTTCATCGGTAAAATTCATCACAGTAATCAGTCACCCATCGATTACGTCACTATGGGAGTCACCTCCCATAATCATACGCACATGCACGCACGAGGTGATTCGTCGTCACCTTCATTCCAACGCACAACTCCGGCATCCAGTATGGTTCAAGTTTTCAGTGTACTACTTATGAATTCTCATGACTTTACATACTCCAAACAGATCTTTGACGCCTAAATAGCCTGATAAGGTTTGCGCTTCCGAGATGCCATGTGAACGCAATTCGGAAATTTCTTCTGACCTATCAAATTCGCAATTAAGGCTTAACATCACAGAAATCAACGCCCGCTGTGGATAGTCCAATCTGTGAAGACAGCACAGGAGGAGCGTCGAGGCAGCCTCCGTCTCAATCTCTGAGGTATGATGATCGAAAACTTAGCTGGGGCGACTCTCAAAGAACCAGAAGGCTTCCAAATGAAGCTCTCGAGAGTGCAATAAATATTAACAAGGTACATGTCAATACGACATCTTTCTCAAGTCGCTGGCAGCTAAATAGGTTGCAAGTAGGCGATTGGAATCATTGAGATGGAGAAGATGCTGTAGGAGGGCTGTGTGAACCAAAGTTAATTCACATGTTCATTTCAACGAATGCGCATTGTCATTCCACTCTGCCCACCTGCGGAATGGATGACTGCCCATAATACAAACTATGTCATGGAGTAGAAAACCTTTCATTGCAGCCAGTTCTGAAATCGCTAGGACACCTGGGTCAACGCTGAAAAAGAGAAGAGACATCCAGCAATGTAACATATGATTCTAGTTGTGGATTCAACTGGTCGGCCTCCCCGTCTGTGCCCATCAAAACTGTTCCCATCTGCCCATTTATCTTGAGTCTAACGTGAGAAATGATTCTGCGTGGATCAGACAACGCCTTTCCCACGTTTCGGGCGAATGAATCGAAACAAATGAAGACAAAAGAAAATAAGTAACGTTTGTAAAAAACCCAAACCCCAAAGGATAGGAAACCTTGAGAGCTCGAAGAATTTGGTACGACAGGAAAGTTATTTGGTCATCGTCAAGGACTTGATATTTTAACACATCCGCCAAATCGATCTTCATCAGAGGCATTACAAGAAAGCTGGATGGACAAAATTGAAAGGAGGATGGTCAGAATTGTGCAATTTGCAAAGTTAAATAATTTTCTGCAACGAGACTTACATTTCGTCGAAGCTTTCCAACGTTGCCTGTGGCGTAAATGCGTCCAGTAGCGTTACGACCTAGGAAGAAATGAAAAGCAACTTTGAGGAGATATGGTAAAACGTTGCTTAGCGGTATGGCACTGCACCTATTCTGGAGAGCCTAGCCTTCGTCGCATGCCAAAGCACTCGATCTCTTCCACATGTCGAAAGCGCATGTTCGACTCAAGTATTGCGTTTTTTCGCCTTAAAGAAAGCATGTCCTTCTCATGCCAAGGCGATTTACACTTGCATGCATATCGCATTGCCTGCTGTCAGAATCCTAAGTCGAGAACCACCCAAAGGAGGGTTACTCAAAAGTAAATGTTACCCATTTGAATGTTTGAAATCTCCTGCAATCTTGAAGCTTCGGCAAAACGCTTGCAAATTTGGAATACTTTAAGGTGTTCTACTTATTCAACCTTGCCATGCTTGTAGAAGGCACTAGTACATCTTCAACGACTTCCTTTACTAGAACTACATGGCAAGAATCATGTCAAGCTATACAAGATGAAACCACGCATCCCTGGAAGCGTCTCCGCAAGAACTCAGCATCAGTGTGTTCGTCTACGTTCAGACATTCGAGGCAATTTACCAGCACTGAAGTGTTGCGAAACGATCCAGTCTTCTAGTATACTGAACACCATAGATCGCAATTACAGTTACCAGTAGAAATCTGATTTTTTTGTCCCATCCATCAAGAATACATAACACGTGCATTTTAGCTGTTTGCGGCAACTGATTTCATCAAATCATATTGAGGATCACTTTAATGTGCTTGGTTTTGAGTGCCAGGTGAAACGGCACCTGGAATCGTTCCAAAGGGAGCAAAGATCTGGGATGGTGGGATTTATTTTCCTTTGGAATTCCGAATAGAAGAATACTCATAATCTAGTACCTCAGCTCTTTTCGGTTGTGTGTGAGCAAATAGTGAAAAGCGTGATTACGGCAGCGTAATGCCACTTATGTCACCTGACAGTGGTGCTCTAGGATCGACAAAAACTGGTGCCGCACAGTAAATTTAGCCTCCTCCATTGAAGAAGGCTTGATAGAATCGATGCATTTTCGTCTATTCTTCACTTCAGTGTCTGCACAAGGAAGAGTGCGCTAGTTTCTTCTCATTACCTTCCAACTTGCTTGCTTAATTAGGCACAATGGATCTAGTCATTCATACCTATTAAAAGGAATAAGTTGAATGATGGAATTCAGTCTCACACGCTCAGTGGCCTGTAAATGGACAAAGCAGCCGAAAATCTGCGAGAAATAGACAATTTTTCTTCAGATTAATACATAGAAAAGCGAACGTGCAATGCACCAACGACTACTACTCGCTGAGTTCTCAGAGTGGAGGGGTACTAAATAGACCAAGCAGCAGATCAGTGAATAGTAGACAGTTTGCTATAAAACATTTACGAATTAATGCTGGACAAATTATTCTCTAGTTTGATACCAAAATTAACTATGGCTTACCACACGGTCATAGATAAAAGGCAGACTGGTATCAGTGTTTCGTCAATTTCAGCGGTTAAGTGGACTACATGTTAACCCACAACCGGGAGGTATTTAAAAAAGATCAATTAATTAGTGGACACCATTTCAAAGGAGGCAGGACTCACATTTTCATGGTCCATGTGAGCCAGGATAGCCAGTTCACGATAAGCACGCTTAGCATTTTCAAGCGAGTCAAATGGCTTATCGATGTATTTTATGGCCACCATACGCTGTAACAGATTGTCCCTGGCGGAACTAAAATGAAGTGAAAAACATTAGCAGACTTCTCGAAAACAGACTTAAAAGGAAGCAGGAATCCTACCACACGACTCCAAAGCCTCCACGTCCGACCGGAGTGAGGTCAGTATAGCGATCAGGAAGGGTCCAGCAAAATCCATTAAATTCGACAGGAACAAACTTGCTTTCTGAACAGGTTGGATGATGAAAACGCAAAAAATAACACTTAGTAAAGAACATGTGAAAGTCTATGAAACGCCAGGTTACAAGAATTAGTTGAAGTGAAAGTTTGTCGCAGTATTTTGTTCCTTCAACGTACCAGACATGTAATAATTTAAGCTGAAATAAATGCACAACGGATAAATTAAATGCGACGATCCTTGCAACTTATAAATATATAAAAAAAATAATGAGTAGAGTTTAGAATAACGATCAAAAGCGAGCAATGCATTATTAAGCCTATGAAGGTCCAACAAAAGACAAGCGCAGAGGAGATAAATCCGATGTGAACACCAAGCATCGATAACCACAGGCCGTAGCATCCTAGGATGTGAAAGATCCGAATTTACGGAGAAGCCTGTTACTGTGCCTTGAAGCGCTTTACTCTCTGGACTTAAAAACTTTCGCTCGACAAACGAACAAAAATATGAAGTAGTGTTCACAGCACATCGATAGCCATGGAAGTAAATGAAAGGAACCTACAGGCGCCCGTTTGTACTGTCGATAATCTCAAGTGTCCGCGCTCCTTACCTATGCCTTATTTGGCGAAGGCTAGCACGTTCAGAAGTCTTAAAAAGTCAGCACAAACACTAGTTTATAGTTACGAAGCATGGCCAATTTCACGTAATGCTTGGAGGAAATAATGGAGTATGCGAACACACCCTTCTATGATTTAATCAAGTAAAATTTGCTAAACAGAACATACACGACTGCACTGGGATTAACTACTATGTTAGTCTTTTATCATAATATCGACACAGTTTTTGAAAGCCTGTAGTGAGCAAACATTTCCGATCTAAAACTATAGTAAAACAGCAAAAATATTGAATTTGCGCATTTGTGTACTTTAATATTGAAGCAAAGCAACTTGCATAAGTAGCGCATCTTATAGATACTAACAAATACCTCAGTGTTTTAGTATGTCATGAGTGGAAGCGGATTACGCAAGGTGACTCATCATTGAATGCATTCGTGTTATTTTAAGTGGGGGTATTTCTGGCAAATAGTACCGATGAGATGCATGGGCGTTGAGTCATGTCGCTTCATTCTTACGTAGCAGGAAGTTATTTGCATGGAACTCGGGCATACCTTCATTATTTGTGTAGATACGCATTGATCTTTTTGGCCTCAGGTTACAAACGCTTTTCGCCTTCGTGCGAGATTTGCGCTCATTATCAAGATATTGCTTAACGGCGAAAATTCGCAAACTTTCTTTTATTACTGGACCGTCATCAAATTCTAGTTGCTTTTCTGTTGTCCTGTTCAATTTGTATGTCTCATCCCTTGGAGCATTTAAAACCTTTTGTTTGAGTCGCAGTGTTCGTTTACGATATTTTGCGCGTAAATTCCCATTTTTTTTGCTTCATTGCAGATGACTCCTGCACTTCCACACCCAGACCAGGATGCCCTGATGGAGGAATCTCCTTCTGAACATGATGTTACTCCTCCTAAATCCGTGAAGATCATAGACGCTGACGAGAATTTTTTGGTAGGTTGTCATATTTTTGCTACATTTCTGTTATCCACTGTTGCGCCTTATAACACCAACATTTCCTCTAGTTTGATGATTCGAACGCCCTGGCCCGGGCCCTTGGTTGTCCACCAGAGATAAAGCTTAAAACTCTAGCTATTGTGGGCAACACTGGGGATGGAAAATCACATACTTTGAATCGCGCATTTTGCCTCGAAGGTGCTGGTGATGGTACGGATGATGTTTTCTTCACCTCCTCATCTCAATGCAATTGCACACTTGGCGTTTGGGCTGCTTTCGAACCACAACGCGGTTACCTACTTCTCGATACTGAAGGCAGGTGTTACGTTTACTTTCATTTGTAGTTGTTTTGATTCTAACTCCTCTCTGTATGTGAGTATGTGAGAGGGCCCTAGTAATTGTCACTTGGTTTTTGGTCAAGCCTCATCAGAAGTTGAATTTTACTGAATCGGCAGGCCCTTGACCGATAATGTTGTCCATTGTTAGCATTACAATTAAATTGTTAACTATATACCTGTCGGTTCTTTTGTTTAGTAAGGATGTTTGTCATTTTTTGGTGGCTTTGTAGAAACCCTTCTTGCAGTAAAGTATCGGATTATCAATGTGTGCTACACTACTGTAGTCTTTCGTAATCGGAGTAACAACCTTTTGCTTACAAGCGTACATGCTACCCTCTACTTAGGTCACGCCCCTTTTTGCTAATAAGCATTCTGTCTTATGCATAATGTTTTCTCCAAACCAAAAGCATCCCCATCGAAATTGCTTCAATGGGACAGACAAAAGTGACAAGTTGGCCTCATGATTCTAAACTTTACCCGCCTGCTTTTTGCTGCGATCGGGTATCAGAGTAGTTTCAAAATCCCATTGATGAACTTTGATGAATTTCTTGGATGCAAAATGCTATTAAGTGTTCTTCCCTATTGATGTTAAGGTTCCGGAACTGGAGATTTGGAAACCGCTCTTCACTACCTTCGGTGTTTAATTATGTCTAATTATCGAAAGCTGGAACCAGCTTTACTTCCCTTTTCCGATGCGAAATAAGTAGTGGGTAGGACTGTCCATTCCGCCATTCTGAGGCATCATCAAAGGACTGATGCCTCACGTTGGCAGACTCGCTTTGTTTTATGTTCTCCTTTGCCCCTTGTCATCCTGGTTTCTAATTTTGTAACCTGAAACGGGCGGCCAGGGTTTTTTGCAGAGCTTAAACCATTGTTCCATGAACAAAGTTCTCGACTGAGGCGAACCAATTTCTGACTGCACGCAACAAGATATTGGTGCCCGAATCGTGGTCACCTGTGACGTGAGGCCTATTTTTAAACATTATTTTGCAGGGCGGTTTTGCACACGATATTTGTCAGCTCAATCGCAGTGGCCGAAAGTGGCCTTTGGAAGTTCTACCAAAACTACTCAAAAATTTTGGAGCCATTCTGATAGAAAATATTGCATATTGATTTGAATTACCACCTAGTATAATTCAAGTCCACCACTCCGTTCTTTCTTGAGGTGTGAAATAGGTTAGCAATCGTAGCCCATATTATGCTATTTGGAATGGTCATTTGCACTAACGAATTTTTTTAACTCAATCACTTTGCTTGGAACTCCATTTGAGTTTCGGATTTCCATAAATTGGTCAAGAACACGCCACATATGGAGAGTATAAGCATCCCAATTGAGTCGCCACCCATACGTAATATTGATACTAAATTTTATGGAATGGTCTCCTTGTGATCCACTTTTATCCTCAACATCCCCTATCCAGGCCTTTTGGGTGCCTCCGTGAACCCTAACCGTCAGCGTCGGCTGTTACTGAAAGTGTTTGCGGTGGCTGACGTAGTGGTGTACCGGTCCATGTCTGATCGATTGCATACGGACATGTTCACCTTCTTGGCGGATGCTTCAGATGCCTTCGTCCGTCACTTTCAGCCTCACCTGGAATCACTAGCACACCAACACGATCTTCCCTGGTCCGCTCGCCAACTTGGACCTGCGGTTCTCATCTTCCAGGAAACCCGGCATACTCTTCCCCTCGTTGACGATGGAGGTGGTTAGCGGATTCATTTTCAGTTTGGAACCTTACTATTGCTACTTTATTGCAGAGATATTAACCTAACGTTGGTTTCCAATGTACTGAATTGTCCGCTTACTTTGAGCTTTAGTTTAGCCGTACTTCAAAGTGATTTCACTCGGCCCTAAGCGGCTCCTTCTGTAGCCTGACTGACAGACTTGAGTTCTGACTGTTATATTTATGTGGGATTGGTAACTCTCAAGTGTACTGTTCTGTTTTGTTTTCGTCGCTTGTTTTTTTTTTAAAGTGGCTTCTGGTTAACTTCAGACAATGTATATTTATTTGAGTAGAGAGTTATCTTTTGAAAGCTTATAATATTTTTATCAAACTTTTCTTAAGCTAAATGGCGGAATGATTCGAATTCTATCTCGATTACGGAAACTTACCTGTTTTATAGCCTTGATAATTCATTCTCGCTTGTCCAGCATTTTGAGTCCGATTGTCTGACTTTTCTAATCAGCTCTTTCATCTGTGGCCTTAAAGGCCGTACCTGCAATGCCTTTTGGCCTTTATGAAGTAGCTGGCTTCTGAATATCCGACAGGTCTTGCTCCGATGTCGAGATTCTGATTAAAATTGATTAAGCGACCTTTTTTTTTTCAAAGCGTATTTTTTGTAGTGTCAAAGGGTAGTGTAACTGGCGGTGATTTCTTTAGTCCTGGGGTTTTAAGTCTGCTTCATTTTGTCAGTGGCTTTGAGTATACCTATATTAAACAGTCACTATATCGTAGAGCTATTGATAGGGTTTCTGTGAAGGTCGAGTCCCAATCGAACTGTTACTGTTCGTACATTTGGGCTTTTTTTACGAACCTGAACACGGTTGAGTACCCAATGAATGTTTTATTAGGGGAAGAGTAGGTAGCTGCATGTTTCAATTGATTGATTGTCAAACGATATAAAATTGCTCACAATTTGCTCTCAAACGTCTCCGCATATGTGTATTGTTTAAATGCAATCAGTAGGTGTCAGAAACATGTTTCATTGATCCGTTTTGATGTCGTCCTCATAGACCTTGACCCATTCACCATCGCCCATTTGGTTCATTGCACACTGCATCATAATTCTTCCCCTTCAGTGTGAAATCAATCAAGTCTCTTACCCTTTCTTAATGTAACGGAAAAATAAGATTTTAGGTCACTTCAGCTGACTTGCCGTTGCAGTCCTTTAAACTTCAATCCGTTCTATTAATTTTTTTTTGCTCTATAGGAACTGCATTTTTGAAGGAAAGATTCGCTAACATCCACCGTAATGTGGACGCCTTTTCCACTCTTCGCTACGTTGGAATTCAAACCACGTCAGGATCTACAGATTTCGCCGTGAGCTTCCAATCTACATCATTATCCCTCCCTTGTCATGCTATCTTGTCTTTTACAATTAATTTGGTGTCTTTATTCGAACAAACAACCGTTTGGTCATCATTACCAACTGGTGGGAAATTCTTCCACTCCCGACCTATCTCAAATGCGTATGACGTGCTTAAGGAGTTCTTCAAGTTTAATCCATGGGATCTACTGATAAAGACTTACAGTCCTTTTCATACTAGCTTCTCCATAATGTTCGTTGCAACAGCAGATGAATGAATTTGTATGCGATTGTGAGTCAAGAGAGTAAGTAGTATTATATCGAAAGAACTGATTAAGCGATTGTCCTTTTATTGGTATTTGTGACCCCCCTATTGTATGGCTAAAATCCCCATCAATAAGAGATTTTGCACACTTGGCAACACGGATTCAAAACATTTCCTCGCTTCTAATTCTCTGTTGACAACCTTAGGTAGACCAGAAGAACAGAAAACGAGGCATTAATTAATCGTGTTGTGTGACTTCTCTTTTCTACCTCTCTGGCCAACTAGTAGCGCCTATTACCATGCTATCAAGGTGGCGGCTAGTGGTATGTTAGTGTCTACTCCAATAATCGTGAAAAGTGAAATGGGTTCGTGCTTGGTGGTTGAGTAATTGAGTTTTTGGCTTTAGTAACCAAGTTTTCTTCAGACATTCCATGCTAATAAGCGGCCATGATGGTGGTTCTTATCAGGCTCATCCCTTAAGCGACAGTCCCAATCCCTTATGCTCTATGACGCGCTTCAGGGGTGCCTCCCTGAAAGAGAAATGCGTCCTCGACGCTCTTTTTAAAAAGTGGTTTTTTTGCTTACCCTGGTAGCATTCTTAACTAGCAGTGGTCTCATGTCAGTACACATGAATTTCCCACTCATTTATCTCTTAATCTTCTTCCTATTATTCTCTGCTTAGACTCGCACGTTGCTTGCTTCTTTGTAACTTACCCCTATTTTATGATACCTAACAAATTTAGCCCACGTTGAGTAGCACTTATTTGATATTTTGTATCTGAATTAAGAGGCTGAATCCGGCTCAATGTGATTCGTTATGCAAAATTCCATCAGATTTATAGATTTTCTTCGGATTCCAATGAGAAAATTTTAGTCAAACTTGAACATGAACATGATGGCTACTGGTAATCACAAGCTACTTTTGTCCTTTACACTTTTTATATCATGTATCATTTTGCGTCATATGACATTGGCAACATTGAGGTCGAGATCAAGGAGTTGGTCGTAAATTGCGGACTACTCGCATCCTACTAGCTCGTGAGTTCCTAATGGTCCGAAACAGATGCATTTCCTTTTATTGCGTTTAACCCATCCATCAAAGTTGCGACTTTATGTGCCCTCATATTCCTCCAGAAAGTACAACCGAGTACTGCTATCAGCAGCTTCAGGCGGGTGCTGCCTACCGCCGGTGTAAATATATCAACATCGGCCAAAACTTAAGAATACAAATGTACGGGGAAAAAACCGACATTTTAATTTGATTCATATTTGCCCCTTAACCTACAAAGGCACCTGTAGGCTTGTTTTTGGAAGCATCATTGGGTATGCTAATCGGTCGTGGATTTACCTTTCGGGACTCTAAAAATGGAGGAGTATACGGCTGTATTAGAAGTCGAATTGAGCGATCTTTAGCACTCTCTGTACTAGGCTTCGGGATCAGCACATTTCACTTTCTTTCTTAATTTAAGTTGGTTCCCTCTACTTCACCTTTCCTTTTACTTACAACCATTTCTCTTGGTTGATACGTGGTGCCCGAAGTCAGGCGAGAAAACCAGGATTCGACATGGAATCCTATCCCTACGTGCATTAAAAGGAATCATAAACGAAAGATTCCGCAAATAGGCAAACATTCAATCTAGTTCTCCTTACCAATTCTCTTGTAGCCGTTTGTACGTGTTGCGGAGGAGTTGATGTCAGAGACGTCGGTACGAACGCCGCGTCGACTAGAGCACATCTTCCGAGCGCTCTTGGGTCTGAGTCAGCACTTTGCCAATGACCTTCCAGACGCAGCGGCTACAGCAGCGACTTCATTGACCTTTGTAGAAGAATACTTCACATGTCCGGCCCGCTGTACCGTGTGTCACGCGCGTTGTGAATTGGGTGTGAACCACACCGGTACACCGCATCAGTCGCGCACTCGCGACTTGGGAGACGGATGCGAGTACTCTCCCTTACTGCAGAATAAAATCTACTACTGCAAGGTCAGTTCGTGTAGGACTGGTTTGAGGAATGGGACGCAATCATTCGCCTACTGATCTAAACGGACTGGTCTAGTCACCTCAGTTTCCACTACCTCACTTGTGATTTTGCATTCTATCCTGCAAAAGGATTAAAGTAGCCTTCTTGAAGGGAAAAATTTAACGGAGAACTGCAGATTGTGTAAAGGAATTGCTAGTATGAGGTGGGGTAGATTAGTGATTAGGTGCAAGTCTTAACTATGGTTGGGGTTTGGGCTTTTGGGTAGTGAAAAATGTCTTCCGTCTTCGCGCGCGCAAATCCAAATCATGGTCATATCCACGGAATTAACGTTTCAATAAGGTATGAAGTGGTGAACATATCGTTCGGATTTAATATAATTTAATATAGTCAGAAGATCATTTACAATGGCCGATGTTTTTTTAACGTGCATAAAAGGGCTAAACGAAGTGATATCACTGCCATCTGTCAATTCGCGATGTGCAGCATCCACTCACTTGATAGGTTCTACGATTTCACCTTCATAGTTTATGTAGGTGTAGGCGACTTTTCTCATCACTACCATCAGTGCCATTTATTTGCGTTTACCGCCAAAAATGGATGGTGCTTCTGAGGTGTGTGCCCAATTTCGTACAGAACCGAATTGCTACTCTCTTCTACTTCACTCTCTCAAACTTAATTAAGTACAGTGGGCAAACAGGATGGAATCACGTGTATTTAGATTAAACCACACTTAAGGACGCGAGAGCTCAGGATGTGCAAAACAGGTTTTTACATCAGGTAACCTCATAATACTGATATTTTGAATAAGAAAGGTCAAGAGGTTATTGGTGCAGATGCACTTATTTCGTAATTCTATACAGAGAATTCAATGAAAACGCCTTTGTAATGGTTTCCTCAAGGAAGGGCTATTCGATGAGCTTGTCTTGAACGGTTGTGTAAACGACTCGGTCAATTGCCAGTATAAATGGTAAAGTAAGCTTAAATGCCATCGATTTAAGCAAGTCATTTGAAGTAACACTGGCACACATGATCGGACTCTAGTGGACTGGTTTGTGTTCTGCAATAAAAGAGTTAAGTACGTTCTACTTTCTCCCTCTAAGAGGTGCTTTGCATAAAGGAATAAGACATCGCTATAAGGGTCATCATAGTGATCGATCTTAAGGACGAATTGCGATCTTAGCATGTCATCGTTTTATTGGCTCACCCGCCACGGGATATGCGCGCCAGGTCAAGGTCTCCAGTGGTCTTACTTTTATTTTACCCGTTAGAGGACATCTACAATACCGCCGGTGTGTTGTACGTCGACTAAGTGTTCTTCGAAAATATGATCTCGATGAAGTGACATTTCACTGCAGCTCTCAGTGACCATGCAGACGTCAGTTGTACCTCTTTGAGGGGTAAAAGTATATTGTTGCGTATGAACCGACTTAGAAGCCGGTTTTGTCAGCAAGTGATGGCAAGGCTTTGAAACATTTGGCATTATATAGCGATCGGCCAGTGTCAAGGTCTTATTTGTGGCTCCTCCAGGAATCGAAATAACTTTGTCATCGCTAGAAGTTGGGGCAATGTGAAAAAGAAAGAAGCAAGAGTAATGATTTGATAAGTGAAGAATCCTTTGACTCAATCTATACAACCAAAGACTTCATGAACTTCTAAGGATACGGATCTCAGTTAGCTACTGCTGTTCTCTGCTGTCTAATCTGGGATCAGAACTAAATTCCTCTCAGAATGAATTGACAAGAGGATGGATTTTCTGTCGTTTCTCCTGTCGAATAAGTGCTCTCTAAGACCTCTTTTCGTTTAGCATGTACTTGAGAGGCGTTAAACATGAGAAAGGATCTGAGGAAATGCTCCTTAGAAAACAAATGCAACTGAACCGCCAACCCTTGGGATGCAAATTCTATTTGCCGTTTTCGAGCGACGGCCGAAGATTTGCTGACGTCACGAAATTGACGATGAGGCGATTTCGTATCATCATTTTGGATGGTCAATAATGGACACCATCATTTGCATACCTTATTCTGTTGTAGTGTTTCAACGAGGTGTAGGTGGTAATCATCATCCCTCTCTGACACTGAACGAACAAGTCTATTGAAATTGGCAATTCTTTTTTGAAGAAACAGTCTTGTGTTACATAAGGCTTCTTCTACGCAACTTTCTTCGAAGTCCGCCTCTTTAATGGTCAACCTCTTCACTGTGGACAAGTCATTTCTTGCTCAACGGAACTGAGGTCAGGTTAGAGAACGGGGAAGATCCGGACCGTTAAGAAATATCATATTTCTTTGCTTAACGGTTGTCAGGACGAGTAACTAACAGTCTGCTTCTACACTTCCATGGATCTTATTCACATTGCTAACATTGGTAAAGGTGACGCTGAAATACTTATTACTTTCTGTGTCTTCCGATATCACCAGAATCAAGATCCAACACATTTTCTCAATGCATCCATTCCTCTTAAAAGTAAATTATTTTGCCTCAAAGCAGTTCACTATCCTATCGTTCACTCCCCTGTGGATGTGTTGCAGATCTTATTGATGATGTATTGAGGCATGCAATTGGGAACTTGGAGGTTAGCAGTTTTGATTATATGGAGGAATAGTCACGGTATCGGTACAGTGTCAAAAATGTCTTCCATTCTCTGTATTAACCTACTCTGCTTCATGGTTCAAAATGTTCTTTTTTCTTCTGTACCTTTTGTAGCGATGCTACGCGATGGGTCGCACCATAGTTCTTGTTCCTAAGACGCTGGAGGAAAGGGAAAACGCCGTTACGGGAGTGATGAAGTATCTGTGGTGGGGCTATGTACTGAGCTGTCCACACCATGGTGTAGTGTATCGCAGTCGTGCCCACTGGTCCGGCAATCCCCCACCTGAGGACTCACCTCTGGTTCATTGGCAGGTTGTTCACCTCTGGCCAGGCGAAACCTCTCTTCTGCAGGTCACTAATTTGACTATCGCTTCTCTAGTCTTACTCTTGAGTATATTTTGCCAAAAATAAACGTTCTCAAATTTCTCTTTTATGTGTTAATTCATTTCAGGCCTGTCGTTTACGTTACCTTGTAGATTATTGAAATGCTGCAATTTCTGTACCTATTACATTTCCATTACTTCTTTACAGGGCGCGCACCCGTTCGGTCAACTTGTAGTGGACGGGCTTACCAGCGTGAGCGAGCAGGTATCTCAATTCACCGGCCCACCGACACGCCTCTTGGGCGATTTCATTGCAGACACTGTGGCTCCCGCTTACTGGCAGCCCAATTCGCAGATCACGAACTGCACTTGTTGTGGGTTCCTTTTCCCCACATCTGCTGGTTCCGACACTTCTTCCTATGTCAGTTGCGCTGCAACCACTATTGCCGCCAAAGTATCCCCTACAGACGACGCAGAGAAGCATCATTGTAGATCGTGTGGTCGCGGCGTATGCGACAGCTGTTCCAAACAGCGCATCTCCGTCCCCGATCGCGGGTATGTAGAAGTGGCTGTGCGGGTTTGCGATCGGTGAGTTGCTTGCTTCCAAGACGGCTTCACCGAATATCATCCTTTGTTATAGCCGCCAAAAGTTTATATTTATGTGGTTTTAAAGCTCAAGTGTTGAAACGCAGAATAGAAGCATGCATTATATATATTTAGTTTTAGTAATGGTTATCATTGCTTTGGGAGGCTGCCAGTTTTATCAATAGTTCATTCCTCCTACTTCGATTGCACTTAATTTTTCACTCAATGTTACAGCTGCTACGCTTCAAGGACTCATTCCAATAGTGTTTCTTCTGCTTCCACCCTCATGCCTTTACGTCATCCTGGCAGCTCTGATACTTCCATATCCAACACTGGAACGTCTAGCCGACGAGTTTTTGAACTCCTCTCCGCCACCGCAGGCTACATCGCTCCTGTTTTGAGTGCCCCCAAGCGTGCGTCGCTTCTTTATCATCAACATTGCTCTCTGATGAAGTCCAGAGATCATTGTTGTTTTCCTTCTAATTGTGCCTATTTACAGAACTGGTGAAAGCGGCGGTCAGGCCGGATTATTGGCAGCCGGATGAGGAGTGTACGCGCTGTGCATTGTGCGGTGGCGCCTTCGGTGCGCGTTTATCGATTCACCACTGCCGAGCATGTGGACGAGGAGTCTGTGCAGCGTGCTCAAGCCGTCGCCAGCCGGTGCCGAAGCGCGGACTTGACTGGCCGAATCGGGTGTGCGATGCATGCTACCACGATCACACTCCTCTTCCTGTCATCGCCGCTGGCACTACTGCCCCCACTTCGACTGCTAATGGACGGTGACTTGTTGTACAGTTGTTAGTTCCATCTGGGTTCATTGCCATTTCGCTTTCATTTTACGCTCGGACATCTGCTGCTCCCGCCCATTTCTTGATGTGTCTGCCTGTGTGTGTTTCCATCTGTCGTTAGTAATTTGTGACTATGTATGTCTGATTTTTTTCTATGCAGCCAAATGTGATTGCGATATGAAAGCATTTTTCTCAAATTGCTTGATGTCATTGTGCGTTGTACTGTAATTAGGTTACCGCTGTCGGCGAGGTTCGCTCCACTTTACTTAATTGGGCTTTTTGGTGGCGTCAGTTTTTCCTCTCATGATTGTAGTAACGGCGGTCTGGGTATCTGCTTCTGGTTGTCTATGTTTAATCCGGTAAGGCATCAGTGGCACACCAGTCTTCCTGCTGGTGGCCTCAGTTTCACCCCTTTGGAGTGGTCAATGATCAATTAACAAGGCTACTCTGAAATCAAGCACTGCTGGGTCGAGCACAGTCTCTATGAACTTTTGCATTCTCTATGCTTAAAAATTCTTTGGAGACCATTGAGGCAAGTCTATGGAACTTTGTAAATATTAGGTAAGGGATTCCGAGCGAAGTCAACTGTAGGATGAACAACTGTTGTAATATCTTGAGCGCTTCATAATAGTGCAAAATAATGGTAGAAAAGGTAAGCATTTGCATCGTGCATGTTTTCACATTCAAAACGAGTATTTGTACCATTGAGGATTGTGAATACAGCAGCAGTGAGTGGGTGTGGAGCCTTCTTTCATTTCCTTCTTATCATATTTGTGGCCAACTCTTCGAATGATTCGAATGACCTTGGGACCTTTCAAAGCATGTTCATATACGAATTGTTCCTTTGCTAATTTTGTCGTTTTAGCAGAATTGGCGTCGACTTGGTGCATTATTTTTAAGCCTTATACACTATTCGCATAAATTTAAACATGTCGTGTTATATTGCTTTTGCCTCAACGACGGGCTCCACTCCAATACTTAGTTGTCTTACCTGTCCTTAGGATTTAACACTGTATTTTGAACCATGAACCGAAATGGCATTTTCACTTTTAGGTTCAAATATAATTTCTATGATCTCTTTGTATGCATTGTTCGCAATTCTAGTTTGTTTTATTAACTTTGATTAGGATCCAGACAATACATTGCGTATTCTGTTGACCTCTGACAACCATGTGGGCTATATGGAGAAGGATGGAATGCGTGGCAACGACACCTTTAGGACTCTAGAAGAAATACTCTGTTTGGGACGTCTCCATAAGGTTGATTTTATTCTACAAAGTGGTGATCTCTTTCATGAGGTTCGACCCTCAATTTCATGTCTAAATGAGGTTCTGCGACTTCTTCGCACCTACTGTCTGGACGAGAGCCCGGTTATGTTTGAACTGCTGAGCGATCCTACGGTTACTTTCGCCAACACCGCCCATCCAGGGGTTAACTACCTTGATGGCAACCTCAATATTGGCATTCCCATATTTGCGATTCATGGCAACCATGACGATCCGAGCGGGATTGGCAATGTCTGTCCACCAGACCTACTGCACACATGCGGTTTCATTAATCTCTTCGGTAAATACAATTGCGTAGAAGAACTGAAAGTTAGTCCTCTCTTATTACGTAAGGGTTCAACCCATTTGGCAATCTACGGTATCGGTGCTATTCGAGAGGAGCGTTTGCATCGTCTCTTTCGTGACAACAAAGTCACTTTTCTTCGACCAGATCATGGTGAATGGTTTTCGATTGCGGTAATTCATCAGAACCGTGTTCGCCATGGGCCCACTGGATACCTTCCAGAGAACTACCTGCCCTCATTTCTCGATCTGGTGATTTGGGGTCACGAGCACAGCTGTCGGCTTGAACCAGAGTGGAATGCTACCGGCAGTTTCTACGTGGTTCAACCAGGAAGTTCAGTGGTCACCTCGTTGAGTGAAGGTGAAGCAGTTGAAAAATGTGTTGGTCTTTTAGAGGTACGGGGCATGGAATTCAAGGTTAGTCTCTCTCGGTACCGCTTCCTATTCTCTTGTCTTTCCCGAAAGTAGTTGGTCTTTTCCTGTTCCAGCTGGCCAAGCTGCCATTGCGTTCGGTACGCAGGTTCGTGTTTGGTGACTTGGTGTTGGAAGATGAGTTATCCGAGGAAGATGCTAATGCACCTGACGCAAGTCTGCGCGTGGAGCAGATTTGTACCGCGCGAGTCCAGGCGGCTATCGACAAGGCGGCCAAGGTGACCACAGATTCACGTCAGTTGGAATGTGCATTGAAGATGGAGGAAGCTGCGACAGAGTTGGCGACATTTAAACAGCCCCCGGAACCACTGATTCGACTGCGTGTTGACACTAGCGGAGGTTTTGAGAGGTTTAGCGCACTTCGATTTGGCCAGAGGTTCGTTGGGCGTGTGGCTAATCCAAAGGTCTGTGCAGCTCTCCTCGTACTTTCGTTTCATGTTTTTTTGTTGATATTATAAGCATGCATAATATGTCTTTAATTACGTTTTTATTCCTTTAACGTTTCTCAGGATCTAATTGCCTTTACCACCAAGCGCGACAATGCTGTTTGTCGTGGAGCCTCCAATACCACTGCCGCTCTCTTGCAGTCTGGAACCGGCATAAATTCTGTATTGGGGAGAGGCGGCTTCTCGGTGAACGATGTGGAATTTTTCATCAGTCGTTATTTTGCGTCAAATTCGGAGCTCCATTTAGAGCTCCTCAATGAAGTGGAGATGGCCGCAGCACTGCGCCAGTTCGTCATTGACGCTGATGGCGAAGCCATCCATACTACTGTGGAGAGGACGTTGACTCAGATCCGGGATCATCTGTTTGAAGTCCGATGTAGTGAAGAAGAAATCAGTATGGAGGTTGCGCGATTCGCGAATTGTCGTAAAGAAGTCGAGACTGCTGCAAATGCTACTTACGGTGATAAAGGTAAGGACTGGTTTGAGCAAGGAAGAATAAAGGATATCTGACATGAAATTCACATTGCTGAACCCAGTTTGTGAGCTGTTGGTATTTAGGCTTCCTGGAAAGGCACGAAGTGTAACCGGTCGTATTTGACCATGTCATATGACTTTAGACTAAGGATACCTTTTTTGCTACAAAGTTACTGCAAGAAGTAGCCTAGAAGGAGATATGATGTTTGGAGAATCTTTGCTAATTTCCCATTTTATCAATATCCGACTTCTACACTTGCATTCACAATGGGCATATTTCTCTCTTACTCTGAAAGACATTCATTGGTTTTCCTAGTTGCAGGATTTGATGTGAAAATCAACTTCCTGGTTTGTTTTCTGACTTTTAGGAACGTCAATACATGAGAACTCTTCTGCTCCACCTACCGATACCAATTCACCCAGGAAAAAGGTATATAGCTTTTAATGGAGTTATCATGGTTGTGGTGTTTATCACCAATTTGTCCTCAAGTAACTGAATATCTCATGGTAATGCTACGACGTATGAACTATGACTTTGTTATGAAATTTTAACAAAGCATCCATAAGATGAATGATCTAAACTCCAACTCATCAACATCAACTTCTGAAATTCATTCAAAGCGGTGAAAGTTTTCAGCGTAAATATTCGGATGCAACTTTCTTGTAGAATCTTAGGTGAAAGTGTGGAGAAGGTAGCTAGCTTACAATTGATCAGTTTTACAAAACGAGTGGTGGATATGTGGTAACTATATGCCGTAAATTTTGCCGATGTTGCCACGCATCTTTCGGGAAAGAGATGATGTTATTAACACGATTAATACTTATTATGACTTCAATTCCTAGTTGTCGTTTTTTTTTCAGTCTATAGAGGACGAGAGGTCGGGAACGACTGTAACCACTCGAAGGCGATTGAAACAAGGGACGATCTCCTTTGTTATATCCTCTTCAGATGAGTCACAAGATGAATCGGAGGATCGATTGGTTCTCCCAGTCACTGAAGAGTTGCCAGAGAACAGCGAAAGTACTCGTTGTGTCGGCTCTAATTGGTCAACTGCGAATGCCAGCTCAATTTCTAGAAAACAACCGTCAGCCACTCGTGGTCGAGGTGGCAAGAGAGGCACCCTGGGCAACAAAGTCTCTCAGGGAGATTTTGGACGAACAAGGCGTGCGACTGCAGCCATTTCTAAAACCTCTGACACAAATACAACCTGCATAGTCTCGGAAGAATCGAGTGATCCCTTCGATATATCATTCAGTTTTCGACGCAAAAGAGGTCGGCGCGGATAGGTCTCTGGGGTGACGTTTTGGCGTCCTTTTTGCAGTACGATTTTTGTGAGCTTTGGGACTTCTCTTCTGCGGGGAAGGGGGGGTGGGAGTGGACTTCTTGACCGGAGCTGGGTGGCGGTTCCGGGTTTTGCCGTGCTTGCATGATGGTAATGTTAGATGATAGGGGAGCTTGGACGGTTTCTGGTACCATGCATTATGGAATTGTAGGTTAAGTATCAGTGCCGGTTTGTAGAACTATTTGCATGATTTGTAAAATATATTCAGAATTTTTTTGTTTAGATGGGCAGGAATATTGCGAAATTTTGAGCAACGTGTTCGTTGTTCTCTTGATTCGTGCTTTTGAGTTCTCGCAGTTTAATCAATTTAGCTCTCAAATGAGTGGATTTTCCTCCTACTCTTGCGCAATATGTAATAAAAACTGCAATTCATCTGAGCAGTTGCGTATTCATCAAGCTGGAAAAACGCACTTGCGGAAGTGCGGGCACGCACTCTCGTTTTCGGATTCCGTTAACGTCGATTGCTATCAACCCTGGCAGTTTTCTCCAAGACTTGATTCATCCGAACTCACATGTCCCACTTGCTCAGAACATTATTCGGCACCTGAACTGCTAACTCATTGCTGTAAAAGTCCCCCTCCAATTGATACTTCTTCTGCTTCACCTTTCGTGGTAGTCGATTATACTGATCGTCTTATCTCTAAGTCCAAGCCTTTCTCTTCCTTTGGAAAATCGGAGTTCTACTGTTCGACATGTGATGTTCCTTTGTATTCTCAAGTCAATTTTGATATTCACGTGAAGGGTAAAAAACATATCGACAAGAAAAAGCAATTAACGGGTTCCCAAGAGCAGGTAATGTCATATTTGAAGTTAGATTGTGGGTTCAGGAGTCAAAAATTGACTGTTCAGGTTTGGAAATGCTTTCATGCTCCCTCCAAGGTATTTACGTTGTCGAGGGTGGCGACGACCCTTATAAAGGTGCCACATTTACACGGGCCCCAATAAACACTCTTGACCGTGCTTCTACCACTGCGCCTATCACCAGCACTACGAGCTCTTCGTCTGCATTGTTTTGCAACGTTTGTAATCTGCAGTTAAATTCCAAAAGTCAACTAGTGGCTCATATGGAAGGCAAAAAACATCGGAGCAAAAGCAGCTACTCGCCCTCCAATCTCCCCGGTCCCAATTTGGCTCACGGGAATGCTGCAAATGACACGCCTTCTGTCAAAGATTTCGTAATCTGGATTTATTTTCACTTATTCTCCTCTGTATTTGTCACCAAAGCTCTTATCCAACTCTGAGCATGTTTACCCTTGTATTTGACGCTCATTCGGCAAAGTTGATCATACCTGTGCTTTTTAATTGACTTTTTAGGTACCATTAAATTCGACCCTGTGTCCCGTCTGTGATGTGCCCGTGGGAATCGCGTCAATGACACTCCACGAGATGGGTCGTACTCACATATTTAAGTCTGCCATGGCAAACTGTTCCAAATTCTGCAAAGATTATCTCATCGAAGATCGTGTCTTCCGGTATTGCTTTGTTAACAGTCTACCTTCCCTTTTAGATAGCTTTCCCTCGTTTTCTTTATCACTGGTAGGTGCACAAATTCATTGGTCATGCCACTCTACGACCCATGCTATTTGTTTGCCATCGGTCCCCGCAGGTTAAAGCACTGACACAAATATCCCAATGTGACACTGATGTTGTGCTCCAAATACCGTTCGAGGGCGATGCATCCATTTCACCCGTTGCTCTGACGGTGGCATTGGGTTTAGTGCAGGAGAACCGTGCTGCCATAGAAAAGTTTTCTGAGCACTGTTTTGGCGTCTGGATTTGTTCTAAAAAATCGGCTGTACCACGACGAATGGAAGAGGTGCGGCTCCTCTCTAAAAATATGTAGGCTTTTACGCCATTTCTTCAATCCTTGAACTTAGAACCAAGAACCGCCCGCGCCTGGTGAACATTGTAAAGGATGCCTTTAGCATGGATGATAGGAGCTGTGGAATTACCCAGCATGAAATCGCCTTTTCAACGCCTGGTACGTTGCCAAAGTGAGGGGTAGCTGAGCGAGTTCTCTCAATCACTAACCTATGACTTCTCTTCAGGAGGATTACACAACCTGTTAGAAAGTGTCCCCAACGTGCAGAGGGCTATCTGCGTCCTAGTCTTTACAGACGTCGAGTTGAGTGTGGATAATGATCCAACTGAACGTCTGCTAAACCATTTTGTTTGTTTTGGTCCCATGCATCCAACTACACGACCACGGGTAAGGGCGGGGTGGGCAAGGTCTCGCGTCTACATATTCAATTTGTCTTCAATTTGCTTCGTCCTAACTATTTGCAGATTATCTTTATCACATCTGGGAGGATTCCTTGTTGGCCATCACTTAAGGCATTTTCTGCGATCCGTTAATTCGATCCTCTCTCCATCGGTCTACACGCCACTGCTATGACTTCTTTCCAAATGGAGTTTTTCGTTATCATTGAGTTCTTCGCAACTACTGTTTACACACTCGTACGCGCACGTGTTCCGCGTTCTTCCTCGATGCTAGCTCTCACCCATTTTTGAATTTTCATGCTTTCCGTTTGAATGACCGACTTTTACTCAGTTTACTTTTATGTGAATGTCTGACCCTAGGTTTAGGTTTACTGCTCCAGATGCCAATTCTCACCGTATGGTGGACTCTATGTTATTTGCAGAGTCATCTCAAGATTGAGAATTCTTCCATGTGTGCGGGTGAGCTGATGCACTGCGGTAGTGCACGCAACCTCCCCTGCTACTTGTAAGTTACCTCCTTGATAACTTTCCTTGGTCTTCTCAGAGTAGTTAAGAAGAGGACTTGATCTAAGAAGCAGGTATGAGGTTGTTTTCTTAAAAGACTGAGAAGAAGCAAAACAACGTTGACGCATTTGATACACAGCTCATATTAACACTGCTTTATCTGTTGACTTTGTGGCATGTTTGTGGGCGAGTCGTGTGTTATGGAGAAAGAGATAGTACATTATGCAACGGCATAGTGTTGGTAGCTGCGGTAGCAGCGGCTACATCATCGGCGGTGGCAGCGCGGGAGGACAAAGACAAACGGGGTGAAGAGGCGGCTAAATGCGACAGTGGAGGCGAAATGCATGAGTGAAAGACGAGAGAGGACGAGCAAGGTACGAGGTGGAGAGAAGGAAAAAGGTGGACGTGATTAGGGTACACTGACAGAAAAATGCACAAAGTGGTGAGGTCACGAAACGGTCGTGGAGGTGGCGTGTTGGGATTCCTCGTCACACCTCTCCGCCGGTAGGCAAGCCCTCGGGTGTGACTGATGGTATTCCGCCCCCACCACCACCGTCTCTAAATTTCTCAGACAAAGCCTCCTATTCCTGCGCTGGTGGGATGGGGTAGCTGCGGGGGGCCGAAAGAGGCTCCTCAACCAATCCCTACGGTTAGGCGGACTCATCTGCGATTGACGCTCCAGATCATGATACTACAAACAAGGCAAAACGCAATGCGATGCCTACTGGTAAATGTAAAGTAGGAGTGCCACATTATTACATCCAACAGACGGTGCACGAAATGATGACTCAGCAGAAGACACGGAAATAAAAAACTAACAAAGGCGGTGCACGCCACTGCCTTGTTAATATCTGTCGAAAAAAGTCGGAACATTGTTACGCCCTGCGGATGAGCTGTAAGTGAATAGAAAGTATGCAATATTAAGTTGTGTGGAACACCGCCACCTGCTTCGTCAGTGTGTCAAGAATACCGGACATGGGAAAGGCATGATTGGTTAGCGTTACACTGAAGTGAAGTCCAAGTTAGGAAATTCATTTTGGATAGGGACAGGATTTCTGATCCGGTATTGCATGCGGTAGATCTATTTATGCACAAATTCTGAAGGACAAAATTAAGAAAACAGGAAGGCACCACTGTTCCTCAGTTTGCTGTCATTCGCTAGGAAATTTGACTAGTATTTTAGGTTTTGGTTGGGGGTAGAAATAGTCTCAAACTAACATAGATGCACCAAAACGTACCGAAGTTGAGACCGAGGCGGTGATCACAGTTTCCGGAGTCACCTCATCACAAGCCGAATTTGTCACAGCGATCAACCCCTCTTCCTCCATACCAGCACTCGCTAACGCCGGGCTCGAAGTCGGACCCACGGAAGCAACAGCAGGGGGTGTACTCGAATCACTGCCGGTTGAGGCAGGACAAGAGCGGTCTATCTCCGGTCGAAAGTCGTAAGCTTGTAAGATGTCCAACTTGCACATCGGACAGCTGCGTTGCTCCAGCAGCCAAGGGTCGATACAAAGCTTGTGGAAGTAGTGTCTACGGATCAGAAATACACATGTGGACCAACGGGATCTTCTCGTTAATAAATACAGATACCTTTTGTCAATTAATGGTTAATGATCTGGTAGTCTGTTTCATTGCTTCAAGAGCGATGAAAGTTGGAAAACATGACAAAAAAGGGTTTGAAAACCTGCATTTCGGAGCTATATTAAGCATATAGGAGAGAAGCTAGCCTTGGAATATCAGTTGATTTGAATCAAACCAGGCCACAGTCAGTGATTGAATAAGACAAGCACCAATTATTTCGAAACCACTTATTAGTAGCGCATAAACACGGAGGCAAAATTGGGGGACCTAAAGTGGGCATGTGTGGTGTCCATGTCCCTCATTCTATCACTTTCAACAAGTCCACCGCCTGCAATGTGCGCACTACCCACCACCTATGAAGAGGAACCAATCAGAGATGTGGGCATTTGACTACCTCCTATTTATAGCAGAAAGATCGTTTTGTATGGTGTCTTTTCTTTTTATTTTCTCCTCAATCTCTACTTTCTAGTGACAACGAATTGCTCAAAAAGAGGCGCAGCATTTGGAAAAAACAGGTATAGGAAATCTACCAGCACAGACAGAAGTAAGGTTAAATATATGCTTCGTTATGCGCATCACCTCATTCCGTTTTATGGCACCTAGGGACGTTTCGAAACACGCTTCGGGATATACACCTAAATAATTCTACAGTAAAAAATTGGCGCAGCCATTTGGCGACCAAGAACATCAAAATCCAAAGTCGAAAAAGCAGTGCAAGAAATTCACCACGAGAAAATGACTTTAGGTTTGCAATGACAATGATTCCCCACCCCGTCTGTTACTGATAGCCCCTGAGCCGATGCAACAATCTCCAATCAAATAGTAATGGTCACTTTTCTGGTTTAAATTCAAAACAAGATCAGCTTATTTACGTGATGCAAGACATTAATCAACTTAAGAGTATTCATCTAAAATATTTGGATCTATTCTGAGAAAAACTCGATTCTTGGTTCAGACAGTTATTGGTGCGGCAGGTGAGAAAGTAGCGACAGGTGCGGAAGAGGCGTTCAGGAGGGTAATTGAACGATGTCAGCTTTTTCCCACACCCATAAAAACAGCTGACAGACCCGTCATCCATCATCATTGTCGCGGGCGGCGGTGTCTGCACCATAGGTTGGTGCAACGTGAGAGAATCTACTACCGACCAACCGTCAGAAGGAAAGGCCGCATGCACCCCTCTTCTCTCCTCCACTTTGCCTCTGCCATGAGAAAGTTCCGCATTTTTCTCAGACCACTCCAAGTAATGGCGATTGTTGATTTCCGCTACCATATCAAACAAAGGTAGTCTGAGGCCGGGTGTGCGTGGCTGTGTGCGCATGGGTCCACCCTATTCTTCGTCACGGTGGCATTTCAGAATTTTGGTTTGCAAGCCAAGTGCTCGAGTTATTCAGCCAGGTAGAGAATAGGTCTACACACATGCACGGACCTCTTCTTCGAAATGTCGTCGTTTTGTGAAAATAGGCACTATTTTTACACTTATGAAAGAAAGTCAAAATCATTGTGACAGATAGATTTATTTGGGGTCAGAAAGCCACACACTCGATGCGAATGTCAAGCATATGCCGCTGTGATCCCATTTCTTGCATCAAATGGGCCCAACGAAGGTGGGAGAGGAGAGGCCTATCACTACGTGATAAGCCGTCTACACCAATCCGTCCCAGAGGCAGATTATTTGGTGACAAACAACAATCTAAGATTGCGTTCAATTTGCTTAATTTCTTTGCAAACCCTGGCTCGTCACCGAAAGCAGCATCCTGGAAAAAAACACTTATCAGAACAGGCCTGCATCATCAACAACTAGGGATACCTATTTTGATAAACAAATGGCCGCAAAAGTTGCGCCCTGGATGTGGAGGAAGCGTTCGCGCAGCCTGTTAAAGTTGCATTGACAAAAAAATTCAAAAAGTCTTCATTAAAGGGGATAAGGTGGAGAAAACTCCTTTATATATTGGAATTTTATCAAAAGAAGTTAAATATGCGGAAAGTAAATTAGGGGGGAATTACGGAACTTTAGATGGAGGCGCCTCCAGCAGTTCATTCCAGTCGTCTAAAATTCCAACTAAACAACTCTACGAAGTCTATTGGCTCACTGACGTTCAAATGTTTAGCAAAACAACAGCCGAGTTAGTATCCGTGAGGTGCTAGCATACATCTTTCCATAGTCACAGCGTTTATAATAACAGAATTTGTGCCAATACAACACAGCCTTTATGGCGTGTTGTTGCCAGAACCGGTGCCTTTCTGTGGTGCAATTTAGAGTCTACTCACGAGGGACACAGACATCCAGGGCGCGCAGGACACAAATTGTCTTTGTTGTTGTCGTTTTTTAAAAATGCAAGCTAGGCTTTGGGGGAGCCAAATTGTATCGACCAAGAAGGGCAACCATAAAGATTAAAAAGGTAAATAAGAAACATCCAAGAAACCGAGATGCCAGGGTTCAAAGATAATGTCTCAGTTAATCAGCAATGTCAAATGTGGTAACCAAATAGAGCAAAGGAAATAAACAAAAAAGAGACGAAACAGACTAGGATGTGTTATTGACTAGTTTCTGACGAGAAAACACTTACAGACCGTGACATTTACCCAAATACATAATATACACACAATCTCTCTCCGAAAGGTCGTCATTTCTTTGCCAATTCAAAAAGGCATCCTCTAAACACCTGGGCTCATTCTGTGACGTATTTGATTAACTACATAATGACAGGGAACGCCAGGCAAGCCTTTTCGTCTTTCCACCATCCATGTGATTAGCCTTCCGTGTTCATCTCCTAATTTGTTCGCTTCGTCGGCGTTTTGGAGGTCGACCTTTCTCCTATCTCCCTGCTCTTCCATTTAGGCAGGCGAATTCGGTGGCGATGAGTGAGAGGCTACTGACCAATAAATACACCAACTGAAAATGGATTGAGTGATTGCTTGTAGCCCCGTCACCATTAACAACGCCAACACCACCGAGTCAAATAGGTACAAGTCGCCTTCCTTCCTCTGAAAGGTAAGGCTCTTACAAACATTTGCCATAAGAAGTGCGACCATCTACACGTACACAGCTATATGGATCCAGAGGAACCAATAAAATGTCTAACAGTTGCCAGCCTGAAGGATGTGAAATTCCGCGCTGCATTGAAGCCCATATGTAGTCTCTTTAAATGAGGGAAAGGAAAACACCTTCAGAAATCCTGATCAAAACTCGACTCCCAGGGGTTTCTTAATATCTTTTCCAACAGGCTCCCTGACTGGGCTTGCAGATATACTAATGAATCCAAGTGAGGAATGCGGGCAATAGACGAATGACCTGACAGGGTAAAGAGGAGACAAGAGGTTAAACGCCTCCGACCCCAAAGTTATTGCTGTGTCCGATTTATGAGCTGCTGTCGGACTGGCATTGATATAGTGATGCAGAGGGGGTAGAGAAAGCATACAACCCTGAGCTTCCAAAATATGATGTTTAATTTATTTCGTCCGAGGGTAATCAGCAAAGATTCGCCTTGTCAGAGAGCGATGGAAGGAAAGACAAGGGTAAAGACCTAGACCTCCAATTGTGACGCAGAAAAAAAAAGCAGAAGAGTGAATAGCGAGAATGACCAATCAGACACAAACATAAAAACATGCATTCACAGAAGTCTGAACAAATAAATAAGCAAGAAAAAAGATAGCAAGCCTAAAAGGGCTAATTTTGTACTTCCGAATGGACAAAACCGCACCTTTTTTCGCTCTTCTTCTCTCGTTCACTCACCCCTTCCCAAAGAGCTTCTCCACATTATAATCCCATATTTCGTCCACATAGGCAGTAATAAAGTTTTCCAAACTCGAACTAACTTTTCGTGACCCGATAGGCAAAATTTGCGTGCTTGAAAATAGCCGCTGAAATCAATGACCCTATTTTAAATAATTTCAGACTTCTGAGTGTCCAAAACTCGGTGAAAGAAACCTTTCCCCCAAATTAGACTACCTTCCCCGGCGCAATTTAGCCAAAAAAATATGCTGTCCTAAGACCATTGAAAGCCGGGAGCTTGGTGCATCAGAAAGACAAGCAAGAATTTGGCGAAATAAGAGAACACATTGGCGGAGATTACGCGATCCCGAGATGCGCTATTAGATTTGACTTAGGCTTTTAGGCATTCCTTAGAGGGATGGAGTCATACAGCACGAATTGGATCCAGGAAAAAACTCTTGATTCAAAAAAGAATATCCAAAATACAAATGAGATGAATGCGACACATAAATATGGAATTTTGTGAAGAGTCCTCGGAAATTTAGATGAATCTGCTAGATTTGGGCCTTTCATTAGTGCACTTTTGCCTACCCTCTGTGTAGTATAAAGTCGACAAATGAGTTCCACCTAAATAACAAAATAGGGACATTTTGAGGCCATTTCATTTACCCAAAATAGCAGCTTAGCGAGAAGACATCATTTCGAGCGAGTAGGTGACGGTGAGAGGCAGTAAAAACAACAAAAAATCTGCTCATCACTAAATCCACCCTATTGTAGGGGGAACTCCAGACTACAGAACAAAATTCATAGGATCCTGAAGTCAATGAAGGCGAAGTAACTTGGTTGACGTAGCAGAAAAAAAATAGTGAATATGGGATAAGCCATGCTACTTGCCTGCAAGGGAGAATCCGAATGTTATCGAAGGGTCGATAGGGTTCAATGCAAATAGCGCAGTGTTCCCCATTGACACCGATTTCCTACATACGTAGGAGAACAGGAAAGAAGTAAAGGTGCACGACAACATAAGAGTTGAAAAATCAACTCCAAGAACCGCCTTTTCAATTCCTATGACTACAATTACCCGCACCATGCGTGAGCACTAAAACTACGTCCTAATGCATTTTATCACATCCTTGAAAACCACCCATCCAGTCTTGTACTTGTCGCCGGGACTTGAACACACCACGCCACCTCTTAATGCATCAATAGGAAAGGAGGCTGTTTTGAAGCCCAAATGATCGGATCGGGTTTGATCAACACTGTCGATCTATTGAAACGAATCAAACGCGCAAACACTCCATCAATGAATAAATGGACAAATAGATGACTCACTATATCTTATACAAAGACCACTTCTCGTAGTCATAAGTCCTTGGTACAATTGGTACCCTTAGACTTGATGAATCCCCTTAATTGCTCACACAGACACACAAAGTGGGACAATAGTAATAGCCCTAGTACACAATGCGTTAAAAAGGTGACGACTCACCTTATCACCAGCCTGCAGCAACTTTAACGGGATTCGCGCCACGGCCTTGCGAGCTAGTTCAGCTAATCGACGCTGAAAGAAGGGAAATTCAGAGGCGGTCATCCACCCAATGCACTACAAAGACTGGGTTAAGTGAGTAATCTGAGTCAAGCGTGAGCCACCTTACCCCCTCAAGCTATATACGACGTCCTGCTGAGCCTCGCTCCGTACTATTTCCAAATTTTCGACCTATCATCCACATCTCACAACACAAATATACGGTATACCATTCATCCCAATGACAAAATAAAGGATCGACACAAAGGAGGGACTGTACCTCAACCGTTGAGAATTAGAATCAGCTTAGTTGTTAACTTAAACAAAACGTCATGTCCGACGTCAATGTCCTTTTCGGATGCCTGAATCAGAAAGTCAATGTCAAGCCGCAAAATGCACAACTAGGCTGCCAGTGCTCTCAATAGAGGGGAAGATGTAGTACGTTACTGGTAAAAGGGAATGAATAAAGCACGCCTGCCGACCTATTTCCTCTTCCTCCCTTCCCCATCGCGAGATGAGTAATCTCATTTTTCAATGCCTCTGCTAAGACAATATCCCCAAATGCCTTACACTCCTAGACATCCCACACACTTAAAACCATGAATTATAAAGGATGATTCGCAATAAAGGAAGGCAATTTGAAGGCTAGAAAATCACCGAGGCGCGCTCCTTGCTGTGGAGGTAGCGAAATCGCTGGACATAGTAGAAAACAAGCCAAGCAAGAGAGATGAACATGAGGAGGATAAAAGAGACGGCAACAAAAAGGACAGAGGAGCGATTGAGAAAGGCATCCTCCACATTTATCACTCCTCCACTCCCACTACTGCCTCCCTTTCCACTATTGCTACCGACAGCACTATCGGTGGACGACTGATTGCTATAATGATCCGGTGAGGAAACGTGAATGCGATGGCGCGGAAACGACGGGGATAGAGGTGGTGGTGAAGGAGTTGCTGGTGCTCGGTGGATCCAGAGGCGCGATCTTGGTGATGAGCCCTCAGGAGATGCGGAAATCGCAACTGTACAGGCGGTGGTTGTGTCAGAAGTGTCAGAGCATCGTCGCACCGATAAAGGAGCAGCATCCCGAGGCAAGAGAAATGCATATAAAGGCGCCGAGTGCAGCTCTGTGGGAAAATACAAGCAAAATTAGGCTGTTCATTGAACGATTTAGTAGATGGGACCAAATAACCAAGTTTAAAAGTTGCGCCAACTCAAGACACTTAGGAGCTACGAATGAAGCAGTAACCATACATGGAACGAAGTCTCTTGGTAGACAAGTAGAAAAAGCATACAACAAAGTGAGGTGAAAACAAGAGTAAAAAAGTAGTAATAACAGGTTAACTATTCACAGTACAATATTGGTAACTCACCAGATCTGTTACCAAGACCATTGAGACTTGGAGCACCAGGAATCTCGTCGACATAAAAGAGAACACCCTTTAATAGAGTCCCATTGATCAACCGAGCTGATTTGAGGACACTAAAGATGACATCGAGAGATGAGCAATGGCTCCTCAAATCGATCAGAGCAAACCAAGAACTTTCACGAGAGGGTAAACCCTTCAAATAACATTGCTGATCATCAAAAAAATCCGAACCAATAAAAATCAAATCACTGGGTTGTTGTTTTGTCGCAAATTTGATTTGTGAGAAATCCACATTGAAGTCTTTTACTCGGGGATAAGATCTAAACAGTAGATGTGTCTGGTTATTCAGCAGAAGTTGCAGAGAGTGTATCACAGGGTTCAAAGCACTAGTAGGAGCGTTGGGGATTTGTGCTCTGCACAGGGAGACAAGATTTAAGAGAGCAATAGTACACCCAAGAAACTGGATCCTGTTATGTGTATGCGTTGACACATAAAATACTCTCATGATTATCTTGCGCTGGCATACATCTGAAATTCGTTTGACACAGGGATGAAGAGTTCATGCAGGCATGCAAAGGATTGTCAGACCCGATCTGGAGATACTAGAACTCAGATTCCTCCAAAAAGGAATTGTCGGCCATCAGACGGTCATTCCTAGCGGCTGGTTTTTGAAACGGCAAAACAAGGTCAAATTCATTTGCTTGTTTTATCAATGATGATCTTAACTTTGTTCAAAGTTCTAAAGTATATACTTGCCAAAAAATTATTGGTTTGTAATAATCCTACTTCCAACCTGCTCTGCAAGGGCTTTCACTCGTAACTAATCAAACTTAACCTAGTGCGCGGAAAAGACCAAGTGCTGCCAAGGTGTGAGTGTTGCAGCTCCAAAATTTTTAACCTTTATCTGCGTGTATAACAAAGCAGTAAGTTTTTCTAATTACTTTTATTCTAGAGGAAAATAATCGATTAGGCCTTCCCTTGGCCAAAGTTTAGCCCACGCGAACATTAAAGTAACCACCAGACATAAAACAGCAAGACCCTAATATCAAGCGGCACGTACAAGGATTCCACTATGGATAAAAAACCGCTAGATATTGTGATGCTTTAGTTATGTGACTACCTGGCGTTTGACCCCTGTACACGTGAGCTAGCCTTCGGGCCATGCTCAAGCCCATTCGCTCTGTTCTCTTTGCAAAAAAGTATTCAGCCTCACTGCCTTCTTCCACCCTGTGGGACGTCTCGGGACGCTACACAGGTGGCAGCGGAAAGCGAACCCGAAATTTTTTAACGACCTTTATCCCTGCAAGTACCGTTGGTTGCATACCCCAGGATGTGGAAAAGGTGCATTTACATTGGTTGCGGGAGAATCTCTGAATCCTTTACAAAGAAAGGATTTAGATGTGTTCTACAGACAAGCTATTAACTACTGAAGCGACACCGCGAATCACGCGCGCGAAGACGGTGAGGAGTCTCTCTACAGTTGGTATCTCGTGTTCTGCTCATCTGCATTCAAATCCTCATTCTTCCTGTAACAACTGCCAAATAAATCATCTGCGACCAACCCTCTCTTGAGGTCTGAGGTTCAAGGGCCAGAGGATAGGCAGGCAGCTCTTTCACAGAGTTCCACCGCCTAATCCTGAAAGCAGTTGATGGTCAATAGGTGTATGTGGCTCTGAATCTAGTTGTTAGCCCGAACGTAGCTCCAAATCCATTTGAATCCGCCGACGAGACCAGGTACCCTTTTTCAGTCTCATGATCTCTGTCCATTGAAGCAAATGGCTCGTGGGTGCTTTCATGTGGCCCTGAATATGTTGTGGTGGCTGGAGCAGGGGCAGTGCAATACTTTGTTTATTCGAACCCATATCGTTTGGCGGTCACTTTAGCATTTGCCTGGCTCTTGTACACGTGAGCTGACCTTCGGGACGCTGCATCGAAAATATTATAAATACGCATCCTTAAACATTTTAATACTTTTTTTTTGAAGCGTGTTTTGAAAAAGGAAAACTACACAAGTTTACTTTGTTGTTTTAATATTCTGATTGGAGCATTCGGATTTTCCGCTACTGTTTTGCTATCCGTCGACCTGCTTCTGGTCCTCTGGGTTTGCGTCTGTTTAATTCTCATATTTTTCAGACACTTAGCACGTCCGCTATTACCATGAAGGAGGATCCATATATTTATATTGATCTTCGGGTGACAGAAATGCTGTCAAGTCTAATGAAACAGGCTGCGTCTTGTAACGACTTGGCAGGCCATTTAAAATTTCAACTAGCTCAGCTCTCTTCAAATGCAAAAACCATTAAGTTTTCATTGGTCCAGGAAATTCATGCAAATATGAAGGCTTTGGGTGTAATGAATCTTCCCCCACTCTGGAAAGTGGTACGATCCTCTGGGATCGTTCTACCTGAACCATGTGTCCCACCTAGAGATATAATCGTCCAGCAGCGAGTGGAAAGCCTAACGCGGAAGTTTGCTAACATGGACTACGGTCGCATGACGAAACATCTCCCCCAACTTGGATCTACAGCCAGATACAAATCTGCCAGCTTCGATGGGGTGCGTTGTGTGAAACGGCAGGTCATGATGATAATCAACTTTGTACTCGTTGTCATTGGTTCCTTCATTTTTGGTTACTTTGTATGTGACATTTTTGGACAGAGTTATGCCACGCCTGTACAGAGAATTGCATGTGGCTTTACCTTCGCCCTTTTTGTTTTTTTTGCTGATTTGTACTTTCTTCTCAAAAACATGGAAGCCTGTGAACTAAAAGCATTCCCACCGAGCAGCAATCAGTCCACTTAATGCAGTACTTTCTTTAGCCACCCGCTCTGCCGTGTTTCTATCACAAATGAAAGCTTCCTACTCATTAACACCTCCTATCTTGGAGTGCTTAAGGAAGGCTGTTGCTTTTAGTACAACTACTTTCTTTGTAAACTGTCAGAGAATTACAGTTGGCAGTACGTCACGGTTATTTGATACTAGAGGCGGCTTGGTCCTTTTTCATTAGACGGTACTCTCTCTCGTACTCCTTCATTCGCAAGATTTGGTCTTTAGTCTGACACTCCAGGTAGCCATGACGGAAATGTCCGCAGAAGAGCGGAAATAGGACGCCCCTTTCGGCTTTGCATTTACGCCACGCCATCAACATCGGTGCACAGTAGTCTCGCTCCTTTGAAGTGAGGCCGGCAGCAATCATTTCTTCTTCAGTGACCTAAAGTAAGGAAGTAGTGAGATACTTAGCTGCCTACACTCGACCAGACACTGTCCAATTGAGCAAGCTGATGGAATAGTCGGTATGTTGTTTGCTTTCCTAAGTGGGGTGGAAGGTTGTCTCGTGATGGCGCACTAAAGAGGAACACGACCAGCCCTCTAAGTGGCTTCAGGTCGGTAGCGTTGAGTGCTAGACAGAACAAGTTGTGCGAAAGATACGTAAGGTAGTACTCTATCACAATCTAATGTCATACTATTTTAATATCCGAACTACGAAACGTATTTTAACCTAAGTACGGTCTACTGAGATGACTGGTCTCCGATCTAAGCAGGAACAACTTGCTATGAGCTCGTAATGAAGCGCAATAAATAACGTTAAAGGCCTGAACTTAGGACTCAACACCATCACCACACCTCAGTGGTAGTAGCAAGAAAAAACCTTGTGTGATTCAACTGAAGAGTGGCAACAGTAAAATTAACGTTATTAACGATAGAAATAGTACTGCATGGACCCGACAACCGTCTCCAGGTATGCTGCCTCATCGTAACGCGCTGACAACGCTTACTATGTGGAGTTAAGAACGGAGTTAACAGAGAAAGATGACTTGCTTACAATAAGTTCCCGTTTTTTCCGACCTCGAGGGAAACCTTTCAGAGGGTCGTGAGTAGGCGGTTTTGTGAAATTTGGGACAGAATCAGGGTCTTTGTAAGTCTCAAATACATGGGAATAACCAGCGCCCATCCCTGAGAGAGCGATGTCGCAGCCGATTTAAAATTCACGCCGCTCTTAGGAGAGCATAGAAACCACGTGCAATCACTGCATAAGAGAAAACAGATGTTTATTTGCCCCAACTAAACTGACCTAGAAATAAATATTACAATTTTTCAAATTAAGGGAAATGTAATTGGGTGCTTAAAACACAGCCTAAACAGTTATCCGTCACTGCTGACGTTTGTGCTTTTCTCTGATTGTTCACTTAGCCCTGTATTTGGAAATAGCACTGTATATTTCTCGGCAGGTTACACTATTTTTTCGATACAACTCTATGGATGTCAGTAGCCTTTCAGCTTTTCTGCACGTTGTTTTTCCTACCGTCCTCTCAAATGATACGAATTTAATAGCCGAGACTTCCTTGTGGGAAATAGAACGCATATGACATGTCTGATTACCTGCGTTTTGGGGACTGGATGGAAACGCGGATAGGGTAGTTACCAAAGGCCGGCTCATCAAACAGAAGCAAACTGGCCTCTAGTTTATCGCCATTATACTATATACTACTAATGTTTAACTTCCCTTATAAGGGGGAGGCGATCAAACACGGCGAATTCAGTGCTCGGAATAAGCGAGAATCATTCCAAGGAATAAATCTGCCCATATCTCTTATCATTCTGTAAAGGATAATTAACCTTAAAACAATCCTCACATGTGGGCAGAGATTTGGAAGCCTAAGAATGGGTCGCCGAATATGCAGTGATCAGCTACTGTAATTCATAATGAATTTTTAAACTTTTGTTGTTAAGGAAAGATACGAGAACCCATGCCCTTTATAGGGCTAAAGGAGCGTGTGAACGATTCTCTTAGACCGGAACCCCGTTTACTCCACGCATTCCTGTTCACATACCAGGACTTGTAATCTATAGGAGGTCAAATAAAACCCTATTAAGTATACCGCCACCAGACGAATGCATTGGGAAGGGGGGGATTAATTATAAATAATCTTTACAACTTCATACAATTTTCATCTTAATGCCCTGAGCATAGCATATGGCAACTTTTAAAGAAGAGTACGCCTGATAAAGTACATATCGCACAATATTGTCTTGTCCAAATTCTTACAAAGACTGTTATGTTTAATCACGAATTTGAAAACAAAGTTTATTACTCCGTCTGGAATTGCCGCAGGTGCTCTTTACCTTTCCAAGCACTATTCCATCGCACATTATCCTACACCTGCAAACACACACATAATGCTATCATTCCACATTTTACTCGCGTCTGCTTCCTTCTTGGTCTGAAATAGACTCTTCGATAGCGTCACTCCTTGACATGTTAAAGTGTAACAGCGTCTTCGTTGCTTCAGATGTTATGAGATGATATCATTGCATTGCCACTTTGAATTTCAACATTCTACCATTGGTATCTTATACTTACAATTTAAATTCGAAGACTAGTAGGGCGACGGGTAGGCGAGGCACTCGGAAGGCCCACTCGTTTTACAAAGGTATACTTTGTGAAGCTGGAAGTGTCCTCATTACTAAATTCATCCAAAAAGGTCATTCGATTAATAAATCCTTATTCTTCTCCCAAGCAGCGGATCTGCCATGATCCTTTCTGACTTCAGTTCACCTTGCTGGTTTTGTTCTTATATTTGTTAATGTGCTACCCTTGGCTGTTTCAGATCTGCACAACAGCACTTTAGGCAAGAATGCATCAACGTGGGTACCTGTACCCATGGAAATATCGTCCTTTAGTGATAGAAGACTTACACTTTACACCTTTAGGAGTGTAGGTGATTGGGATCAATATTTCAAAAAGAAAGGAAATGTTGAGAAGTTTATGCATCATCATTTATTGGGAGCAAAATTGTTTCCTCTTGCGGGGTCCTTTGCTTGCTATCGCTTAAACTTACATGCCACAGTGGTCACATGACCATCTTCAAGCAGGTCACGTGATTCATATTTTGAAAACTTTTCAAGGAAGGATTAATGTCTCTCAAATGCACCTTCAAACATCAATTGAACTGACTAAATCCGTAAATTTTCTTCGTTCTTTAGGTGCGTTTGGAGATTCCTACCCTGCACTCAGTAGGAAACGCTCATAGAGAATAAACACTAGTGTTAGATACATTGCTGTGGTATCTCGTCAGTCATTGCACACGTCTAGGTTTCAGAAATCATGGCTGAACTAAACGAGTTTCGACAATGAATGCATTGCAAGGAATTTAGCATCAATATTGTGCGCCTTAAAACAGTTTACTTGAGGTCCATCTCTGTGCTAATCAACTTCTCACAGACCACACCGTTTGCTAAGTTTATTACCTGCCATAGAGTATGTGCTGAATCTCAAGCAGCCCAAGGACTAGGCCGGTTTTCGGGTCTTTTAAGTTGAATGGCCCCGTGCACAACCTTTGTCTCTTGCTACAATTCGGTGACTAGAATCAGGAGGAGCACCCAATAGTCTCTTAAATAAAAAGTAGCAAACAAAAGATTGGACAGATGAGTGGGCAGGTATGAATACCCGAGAAGGAGGTATGCGTTCGTATGGTATGTCACTTTGTAGAGAAGAACAGGTATGCCAGATCAGGCAAATCGATAGCGGTGGCGCAGTCTTCTTCCCTCCTAACCCACCTCCGAACGTACGAACGTACGTACGTGCGCACCTACGCAAATGCGATTGACGCCTACTGGTTGGTGTGGGCGTGTGTATGTGGGCACCACTTTTTCCAAAACCAAGAATTCCCTTCCTCCGCGAGCAAATAGTGTCATCATTTCACATACATATTTTCTATCGCCTCCTATCGCGCCAATAAAACGCCCAAGGCGAGGGGAGGAGAGGAGTGGGAGGAAGGCGAGAGGTCGTCTGAATACAGACCCATCGCCCTGTAGGAGCAGTGGCCAATCGGAGCGGAACACATTTACCGAACAAATTCAACACAGTCATCGGTTTTTAATGCTTTGATCCATCGTTTGGGTACCTTTTGCAAACTTGGTCTCTCCTGTTTGGTGAGGATAAGAATGCCTACAAAAATGACTCGGAGGCCAAAAAATCTCTTTTAAACTTAATGTCAACTTGTAAGGAAGCAAAGTGTGAGGTTTACCTCCTGTCTGTTTTCTTCCAAAGGCACAAATTTAAAGTCCACACATCTGTATATTAGATAAATGCGCCTTCTGTAGGGTCGGTGGCTGAGTAGTTCGTTCGTATTTTAAGAGGCACGTGTGCGTTTTCCATGAGAATAAAAAGAGTGAAATAGATAAAGAGGAGGAGGAGGAGGAGGAGGAAGGAAAGGTACAACATCAAGACCTAGGGGCAAGATTTGTCATTTTTCTCCGCTAAGGCCACTCATTTGGTATGCTAGGACGAGGAAGAAGGGGAGGAGAAATAAGGGAAGTAAGGTTGAGTCTGAGCCCCAGTGAAAGACTATAATGCGGACTGAGGATAGGCGCTTAGGTCGTAGATCATAGCGAAGGAATGAATAGCTTGAGCGTGTTTATGTCTGTCCATCTGCCTATTCGTCACTCTGAGTGTAGAAGGTGAAGGTAATAAGGATGGAGAGGCAGAGTGTGAAGACGTGGCAAGGGTCAAGGTTGAAGGGGGAGAGGGAAGGAGGACGGGTAGGAGAGTGTATGTATAAGGCGGAATCGCTTTAATGACGTCTGTAGACAAATAGGTCTAGCACTGGACTGGATCGGCGAATTAACGCTACGACCTCTCGGCATGTTCTACCTTTTGTTGATGTTTCATTGACCTAGAGAAATAAAAAGACTTTAACGAATGACTTTACCACCTGCCGATAAAAACTTGAAATCCAAATAATAATAAAACAAACAACTTCTTATGCCTGGGATACCTACCACAGGCAATAACTTGAAATGCGTCAGTTTATGTTGCTTCTATAACCGCGGAATTAGCGTGATTTACGCCCACTTCATGCTGCTTTGATTTTAAACTAACATCTTCGTCGACAAACATAAAAAAAAAAATTCCCTTCAATTAGCTGCAATAAAGTGCTGAATTGAGTTATTTTTATTTCTTTCACCCTCTCCCTCCTTCCTTTCCGCAAAATAGAACCGGACCGAATTGGAAGAAATGTCGTTTGAAATTAGGGCCTGAAAGATTACTGAATGAACGAATTGATGCCCCAAAATAATGCTGGTATGGCCGAATTTCGTGCTTCTTTAACCAGTGTCTACTGAGTGTCCAGGCGCCGCTTCTAGAAGAAGGTAGTTACTTTAAGAAGGAGTAAGGAAAAAATGGTAAGGCGAAGGAAGAAGAAGAAGAAGACGGTAACAGCAGCCCTCTTGAAGTGAACTAGCAATGCGTGTTTATTTAAAGTCTGGATGGATACAGCATACTGGTGGGAATCAAGTAAAGCATCAATGCGGCCAAACACGGCGCATACAATACCAAGACAGCTTTAACCTAAAAAGCCGACGACTACGGTTATGGGAGGGTTGAGTCTTTTAAAAATATTAAACAATTCAAATAAATGCGCTGGTATTCCTTAGGAGAAACCGCCTTCCTCGGCATTGGTAGAAATGGCTAAATAATCTCAGTCACATGTGTGACTAGCATAGAAAGATATCCACACTAAGACAAACGGGAAGGAGCTTGTTTGACAGAGGAAGCACCTTCATGACTTGTAAATAATGCCTACTTGGCATTGAAAGGGACGCAATCAGCGTCAATTGCTCTACCCGAATCAACCCAACTCTGATCTGGACTGAATAGGCGGATGGACAAGGCATATCAGCATTACATTAGGTTCTTGATTTTTGAAGTAGTTATTCTTATTCACAACCCATAAATGTAGCCTCAACTCAGCATTTTGTAGTGAACCTCTCTTGGCTATTTTCCTCTTCTTTCTACGTTAACTACGACGTGGGCATTGCGAAAAGGAATTGGAGGCATACCTTCAGATTCTCTTTAAAGATTACGCAGGTGATTTGACAGTTTACATTCAGAGGCGAGAAAAACCTGTCGCAAGGGAAGGGAATGTGACACTGCAATTATCCTGGAAATCGGCATCCTCTCTTTCCTTTCTGCTCTTCTAGTTGGAATAAGTGACCAAGTTATTTAGTGACGTATGTGTTGGTTTGGTACACTGGGCAAGTGGCAGGTCAGACGGTCGTTTTATCCTTTGATAGTCGACAGTTGTTATTCTCACCTTAAGAATTCGATCGTAGATTTGTAGCAATCCAGAGCTGTCGGCAATGGATCCAGGTCTAATAGCCGAGACGTAGATGCCGGTGGAAGAGAGGCCCTTGGAGAGGCCAATCCCAAATGAGTCGGTGGGATTCGGTTTCACCAATCGAATCCAACCCCGCCACGAGGGCAGTCGATTCTCCCGACTGGCCGATCGATGCAGACGCCGACCAAAGGCAATTGGGGTGGTGTTTCTACTCTCCGTAGGATTAGGATTGCCTCGAGGTAGCGTCTCTGTGCTCCTGTGACTTCTCTGTTTCCCATTGCTAGTGTGATCAGTAAGTACAATTAACGTCAACAGTGACGCCAATAAAGGACTTAGCTTTTGTCGAGAGAGGGAGTAATAGGAGAGCATACGGTTGGAGCAAATCACTCACCAAATTACAAGGCAAATGTTATACAGGATTTCGTCCGTCACAAGGTGGGCAAATTTATTTGTCTTGACAGTAAACAATGTCCCTTGACAGCTGCGGTCCTTCGTTTTTTTGATCAGAAATGTTTGTATCTATTTTCTTACAAAAAATTCTCATTGTTTCATTCTATTTTTCTGCTCACCTCTTTTTAACTCCCATCAATTGAACGAAGTTGTAGAGAGGCAAGTATTCCTCTTTTATGGGGGAAAAAGGTGATTAAACAGGCCAAAGCAACATAGCCTTAACGCTTCCTCCAGAGCCATAAATTTCGTGCCAATTCTTTGGTGCAAACACCAAGTGATTTGCTACGAATTAGTAAATCGCTTCAGTCAGATGGGAAAGTTTCTGCATGCCTCCCGAGTTAGATTTGAATTTTCAGGGCAAGCGAATGCGACGGAGAGGAGGAAGAAGAGTGGCAATTTTAATTTATTTTTGGTTCAGATCACCTTACCTTCCTCCTCCATTTCACATGGTCAACACGGCTACCGCACTATTTCACCTCATTTCCAAACTAAACACACCTCCGGGACTATGCAAACCTATAAGCAAACAATTTTGAGTCAGGCGCTTACAAAAGTTACTTGTTGTAAAAAATTTGATGACTTTTAGGCAAAAAATATTCCCCAGCTAAACAGTTAACTGCCATCCGAGGGGAGGGAGAAGAAAAAGCTGCCAATTTAGGAAGTTCCTCAAAATACTCATCACCCCCTTCCAGCCCACGGTTGTTTTGTAACGACTAAAGTTACTCATCTCGATTAAAATGCAAAGCCATGGAGGAACGGAAGGAAGGGAAGCAGGGAGGAAAGCACTTGCGTGGTAGAAAGAATCAGCGAGAAAGAAAGGAGACGTGGAGGAAGGCGAAGGGTGGATGAGTGAAGGGTTGACTTACTGGCAAGTCGACTGAGAGATTAGTCCTAAGCGTTCAAATCGATTTACTGAAGAAAACTTAAGAATCCCCTTTGACTTTATTAAAGGAAAGGAAATTTACTTTTTTGGATTTGGGCGTTCGAGGATTACTTTTTTAAGTTTCGAAGGAGGGCCAAAAGGAGAGGAAAGAGGGAACTGCAACGATGTGAATGCGAAAATGGAGGCACCTCCTGCACCCTGCGTGGCACATTACAAAGTGAAGACTTGGACTATCGCCTAAGCATGTGATGGCTCCCACATTATTTAACAGCAGCATGTGTCGGAAGTAGAATAACGTGGCCCTGGTGACAAGGTATCACTCACACTGAGGAATGCCCTTACAAATCAACTGGAAGTGGGGCAGTTATTAAGGATATCAAAAGAAAATCATTTTAATTGTTCTGGATCAAAAAATAGCGGTACAAAAGATTGAAAGACTATCACGTTGTTGTTATTCAAAATTTTCAAGCCAGAAAAAGGTTACAGACATTCAAAAGTCTTTGCTTTCTAACGGAAGGAATTTTGTGTGCACCAGGATCATCATCAACCGGAATGAATACATATGAGCTGTGATTGATGAAATTGAAGCATGACCTGCCACCCTAAAGGCGTTCGATCGTCCAAGGCCAAACACCCTCAGAATAGATACACTTCTTTGGCGTTATGTTGTGCAACTTCAAACCTCCACAGACTGCGCATTTTCACTCATGCAAAATAAATATTTAAATGAAAAGCCTTAAGAAGCGAATGTGCCTAGAAGTAAAAATGATGAGTGTGACAACGAAACATCCCACGGTGTTGATACTCCGACTCAGTCCCAAAATATGCCATACCTGGGGATCGAGGGTACTGCAAGCGCATGATGAGATCCGCCTGTAGGCTTGGGAGTCTCTAAAAGGTCACCGCTAGAGACCGAGGAACTCCATGAGCTTCGAGAGGCGCTGAAGGCAATGGATCGTGATGGTGTAGACGATGAGGTACAGGTTGATGCTAAAATTTCGGCACCTGCAGCCACAGCAGCAGTAGATGAGGAGACTGATCCCACATCCTCGTCCTTGATTACCTCATCTCCCGGATCTAAACGCTCCCGATTCAATCGTGAATCCGACCTCGAGAGAGTGTGATAGCTACCTCCAATTGCACCTTCGCCTCCTTCCAATATTTGGTGATGGTGGTGATGGCGATGGATTCGATGTGATGTAAAGCCGATGTCGGCATTGACGCCTTCGGCTGTTTGTGAGTCCACAACTTCTAAACTGCGTCCACGCAATCTCAGATGACCTCGACGACGAGTCATGTGAGTATCATCACAGCGCTGTTCAGTTAGCAGTCTGGAAATAGTAGGAAAGGGTGCTAAAACAGTTGGTTTAAAAGTCACTGTCAGTCATCAGGTCGGAGTATTTTCCACGTAGTTGCAAAAATATTCTTGTCTTTGCTCTGCCATTTAGTAGCCATCTGTTCTGTACTCTTCTGAGTGAGCTTTGATACCGCATGACGCCCTCAATTGCTTGATGTAATGAGGCCATCAAACCTAGTGTGGACAACTTTTGTCTCTTAAAGCCACTTCTGATAAGTGCTGTGCCAAACATTCTACCATTTTTAAATGATTGACATGTCCTTGTTGCACCTTCTTAAAGAGTCCACATCAAACAACCTTTATTGAGAGTGCGATCGAAACTGCATAGGACTTCAAGCGGTGGATGCTAAAAGTGCTGCAATAGCATAGGACAGTGAGAAACACCCACGAGCCACCACCGATCCTCCTTCGGTCTCCTTGTTGGAGTGGGAGTGGAGAGAAGGGAAGGCAGTCCATTAAAAAACGAGAAGGTAGGCACAAATGTCTCCAAAATATTTGGTAAATTTACTCCATAAAAGGCATCAGAAGGAGGCGCTGATGCCTCTAAACGATCAACTTTTGGAAAAGGAGATTTACCAGAGATTTTGGGATAATTTCTGTCAGTTATTGGCAGATAAGCCCCACCCTCTTCGCTAAACCTTACAAACTCAATTTTTCCCCTCTATTGTTAGTCTTTTCCGATGTTTAACATTGTAATTTATTTTTTGGTACATCCATCTAGACAGCAAGACAATCTAAAAGTGGATACACAAAGCCATTCTAAAGGGCTAGTAAGTACCTTTAAAATTAGAAATATCTCGATGGGACACCTCATAGGCTTCAAATGTTATAAATTTGATGCGGAAAAGGAAAACAGTAAATTATTTTGAGCAAAGTTCGTCTTCCTCCTTGTGATAGATTTACCAATCAACGGTTGTCATTTGGCCGTACCACGAAGTACCCCTAGTCCTTTTATATCCTTTTAAGCGCTCATACTTCTTCCTGCCAGTCAATTTCTTCCCGCTTTAATTGCATATGTTTCGTCACCTAAAATTCCACACCCTTTCCCATTTTTGATACGATGCCCCAGTGCTTATTGCTGAAGACCTCCGCCACAAACAGTTCTTCCCTTCAATTTGTTGTCCCTTACATGACTCACAGTGCCGTCGAGGGCATAGTGTAAAAGCAGCATCTCAACCATGTCTCTAATGGCAAAAATAAAACCTACTTGGATATATAGGTTACTGGGTGGCATCAGTAAAGAGGAAAAGTTTAAAAATACTAGCATTGGAGAGACCGACTGCTGCCAGGTAGTGTGAACATGATGGATTTTAGCATTCTCGCTACAGTTCAGGAGAGAGATGAACCTCAAGTGAGGCATCAATGACGCTGAAGTCGACTGCTCTCGTTTCCACATCACCAATTTGCAAGTGATTAATGAGGCGCCGTCTATGTTGGCTAGAGGAGCGCAACCAATGGGAAAGTGAAAACTATGCCATGATTTGCAAAGTTACCCCAACCAATACCGGTGTTCCATGACATTATCTACAGTGGACTTGCGGGTGCGTCACATACACATGATCTTTAGCAGTACAGAATATTGCTAGTCTGCGAACGATCATATTTGGTTTCTTCCACAAAAACTAATTAGACGAATTCATCGCGATATTATAAATGCCGAAAGTGGAGACGGTCAGCCCAACCTGAATAAAGAGGTATGCTAGTAGTGGCCTGTAGACGTGATTGTTAATGAAATAGTAAGAATCGTACCTCCGCTGATTGAGCACCTCATTGACTACTGCCTCACGACATCCAGGACAGGCGATATCTTCTAGGTTCAAAGTGGACGAAGCTCTAGGTATCCGATCCTCCTCCACCGTCTTCTGTTCAGAGTCCTCTACACCTGCTTCCTGTTTATATCGTCGTTGATGCCTGAACATTCCAGTTCTTCGTCTTCGACTGTGTTGCTGATGGCCCTTATGGTGGCGATGATGCTGATGATGCGGTGTGACCTCATCCTTCGAGAGGTAGGCATCCACAGTTTGACGAGGCACATCCAGAAGATCGCCGGTAGATCTTCCAACACCCTGAGCTTTACGATATGTGGGAGGCTGAAAATTTGCTCCATAGTCATTGAAGTATCCGGAGCCTGAGTCACGACCTAGAAAGATCGTAGCAACAAAAGGTGCAGACATAAAATGATTTTACTGTCATAAAACCCCCTTGGCTACAATACTCGGTAAGAATGAAACCAAAGGAGCTAAGGAGGCGGTAAATAAAGTTAGCTAGAGAGAAAGGGCGAGAAAGAAGGAAGAAGAAAGGGGATGAAGGAGGGCAATAAGGCAAGAAAAGAGAGAAAGAAACGCAGACTATCTTGACCATTCAAAGGTCAAGAAAACAACAGCTGCACCAAATGTAAGGACGTGTACCATGTCTACGGAACAATTTTTTTCTTATTCGAAAAGGGACATCCTTTGTTAACTACAAAAAAGATAAGTATTTACTAGTCTATTCATTCATTTATTTGATTGGTTTCACACGGTTAGCCTGTTGGATTAGATTAAAATGACTTTCTTAAAAGCGAATTTTGGTCTTAGAAGAGAGAGCCGCCACCACATAAATCGTCCAAAGCGTTCAAAGAATATTGTGGGCCGAATTCATTACTTTGTATTTTACACCGAAAGAACCGGCTCTCACGTAAAGGGAAATTCAAAAGTCCTCCAAGAAAGGGGAGAAGCGTCACAGAGGGAGTTTTCCGTCCAAATCCCATGAAAGCAGTAATGCTGATGGTTTCATTTCCTACCACCATCCATGTATGCAACCATCGAATCGGCAGTGGATGAGTTGGCAAGGTAGTAAGTAGGTTGCACCAATAACCAACAAATATAGACACATAGTTGGGTCCGCTCAGCGCTCATTTCTCTTCCTTCCACCTAACAGGCCAAACTGCACATCCTTGAGCCTATCGTTTCACCGACTAGTCGAGGGGATAAGGGGAAGTGACCACTAAAGACTTGATAGCTCTGCCCTACTACCTCACTAACCGCGGTGGACTCTGTGTCACACCTGTATAAACGCATTATTCAATGTCAGCTACAATGTTGTGAAGAATGTTTTAATCTCTGTTCTTGTAAGCATAGTTTGCATAGTTTTCTAATAAAAAGACTGTGGAAGTGCATATCATAACAGGTCTTACAGGTAGCATAAGATGAGTAAACAATAAGTAGTCGTCATTAGAATAAATATAAATAAATATTACACGGCGGATAAGAAAGCATCCATTGTTATTTCTAAAGGCTTTGCGATGAGTGGTGGAATTAATCCTTGCCGATGCAGTGCCTAGCACACAGTGTGAAATTGGAAACGAAGCTTTGAGGAAGTGCAAAACCCCTTTATCAGTGTACGTAACTCACTAAAAATGGTGCCGAATCCAAGCGGTGCTGTAAAGTGCCTCGGATAGGGAGTTTTGGAAGCCGAGTTCTGTTTTTTAAGACGTGTTGTTGACGGCACTGCCACAGGAGTTGAGCTTGGCATCTGAGCCCTTGAGGAGGGTCTTACACGCTCATCATCAAAGGACTGATTAATCTCGGTGACTGGCGAACAGAGCTACAAAAGAGCAAGTACGATAAATTTTTGCTGCGTAGATGAGAGACATTAAAAAATCTAGTTAGCTAACTAAGCCTGCCTTCAAGCTCCTGTCAACGCAACTCAACACCGTTTATCCCCTCATAGCCTGTCAAAAGTTCAGAAATGGACATTGAAACCGGACTTACAGTGCCCCAGGAGTATTGTTTCATTGTTGCATCACTACTGCCCTGCCCAAGAACTGTAAAATCCGATCGACTTTTCTCCCTCGCTATATAGAGTGTTACTTGCTCGGAGGGTTGTTGGAGTCGAGAGGTGACAAGTGACAGTGTTAATCCACTACCTCCTGCCTGTTTTGGAGCAGCACCGTCAAGACCGTTAACTGCAAGGATTCGATCACCCGCTCGCAGTAGACCAGATATAGCAGCAGGTTTTCCTGGAGTAAGAGAATCAATGTAGACGGGTGCATCGATAACGTCGTCGGTGCCAGATATTACCACTCCCCATGGACATGAGGGGTGTGATCGGATTAGCCGCACTTTGTGAACTTCGAAGAGTGTGTCTAAATAACAAACCGGTTTAAAAAACAATTTTGTAAGGTAGGATCTTCATGGGTTATAAACACCATCCACACCCCAAATGTGCACAATGAAGGCAGGGGTTTGCATGCGCGGTGTAGTTAGCTACAATTGAAAGCTGTGAAAGGGACTACCTTGTTAAACAGAATTGGCTTTAGGGTAGGTGATAATTAAAAAAAAGACGACGTAAGGTTATTCCTTCGTCAATAGCTCTACCAATATCAAATGAAATCAAGTAAAACACCCTACTTATATACGGATTATTCGCCTAGAAAAAGGTGACTTTGTATATGCGCATGTCGATGTCGACTGATAAATTGTCAAAGCTGTCATCAGTTTGAAGTGAATGTGAATAGTAACTCCAGAATATGGGCGAAAGAATAATGTTGAGGATGTAAAAAAGCTGTAGAAAATACCTTCCTTTTCCTTACCCAATAAAACCATCCTCTGACCGAAGAAAACAGACACAGCTACCAAAACACGAGGAAATTAACCTTCCTATCCACCCAACGTTTATAACTGGAAGCCCAGTTCGCTTTAAAAAATTATATTTTTCTATTCTCCCGCTCAATTCTCATGCCTCTTTTCGGCAAATCCGAAAATCTACAAGCACCACATGGCATCATGATGTTAGACTCTCTTGATACAACCTGATCGGTGTTGAGATGAACGTTGCAGAGTCAAAGTTATAAAAGAATTTTGATACTTTTGCAGAATGGATCGAAAAGGTATTGTTTTAGGCGGTTACTTTTGGGGTCACCAGCAGCAAAAATAGTGCCATAATTTGAGGCACTAAGAACAAGACTAGTATTTGAACAATTGAATTCGTTAGGTTTCATAAATTGTGAAAGAGCAAAGGGCAAACTCAGTTGTCGTAGCCTTGTGTAGGCCCTCCTGCATTAAATTGTTGAGGGTAGTTATAACGCAAGAGGCTTCGTCATTTGTTAAGTTTCTTCCAAAGTGTAGGGTCATTTTAACGCGTCATTCATTCCTAAATTCGGTGAAAAGATTTATAAAAAGTTGCAATTTCAGTGGTTGGGGATGGTCGTCTTTAAACCACTGGAATCGTATTTTGCTTCCAAAAATGGGTGGTACATAGCTGTACTTTAGCATTTCCTAAAATGTCCTGTACCTTTCCTTCCAACTGTACGCAACTTAAATCTCATCTCTAAGAGAGTAATATTTTGAAAGTCGACATCTCATAGTCTCCTACGGACTCCACTCACTTGGGCTACATATCGAGCTACAAACAAGTAATCCTTCCCCAGTGCCAAAAATTTTACTGAATTTGATGAATTAGTGTCAATGTGTAAGGTACGTGTAGGACTTTTAGTTAGACTTCAAACTCGCATCATAGTTCTGGAGTTGGTCAAAAATTTGAGCAATCGCATAAGGCGAAGCACTCGAAATACACCTTCTCAATTATCCACATATTTTTGTTCTTCTACTTAATTGACACTTCGGTAGAATTAATTTAGAGTTCCTGATCCTTTTATTATTTGACACTCGCATGGAATCCATTAAATCTATTTCTATACTTTGTAAGATGTATTTTTTGACGGGGTAGTTAAACACACATATGCATTTTGTCACTCATGCCCTCTATCAGCCACCCATTTGCTATCCCTTTTTCTGTCCTTGCAAATGCACCAGAGATGAGTTCGATTGGAGACCGCGTATTTCACTATCACCTCTAGCAATCTGTGGATGGTGAGCTTTGATGTTGCAAAATGTTTGTTTGGCTTTTTTAATCCTTAAACGGCCTTCAACCCCCTTGCTCAGTCCATCTCACCCTGCTGTACCCTAACACATTCACTTTTTACCGTTCATCGGTAATATACTGTGCTCAGGTGGCATGCTTTATAGAGGCTCTATTCCTAAGTTCATATAAAATAACAGTATGGGAAAGAATGCAAACTATGCATGCTTTCTCATTTTGTGGGCGAGGGAGAGAGGGATAAAAAGTAGTTCGTTTGAGGTCATAACAGTTAGCAATGTTGGCTTTGGAGTGTTGATTGCAATTGCCGTTTAGGTGCGCCCTGTGCCACAACAGTTCAAGATTAAAGGTGGTTTCGCTGTTTCACCGAGTAGAACAGTCTGAATGGCGACCGATTGCGTATGAAATTTCCCGAAGATGTTTATCTCCACTAAACGAACAACTGTATAGACGAAAAATTTTACCTGACTTTTAAGGTTGCATGCAGATGCAATGACTTTCAAACATTACGATGTAGTGGCTGGTAGCATAGGGACAGCCGTTTATAGAGGTACTGAGAAGTGCTCCACAATTTTTGTAGACTGTATTTCAAATCTACAGGGGGGAGGGAAGACTGCAGATAATTACTAAAAGTTATTTGAATCATTTTTCTTGTTCAAATCAATTACGATATGCCAAAAATAATGGACAATGAAGAAAGTGCACTCGCAACGTGAAACACAATTGCTATCACTTTTGTCCAAACTTGGCTAATGAGTGAGTTGAGATAGAGCAACATACTTCTCCCTCACCCCTTTGCCTCAGATTCGTTGCCTGATTGAACTAGTCACAAGTACGCATGCATGCACACACGGTTACACACAAATACGCAGCCACACACACCATACACCCACGCACACCAACAGACGCAGACATCGACACGAAACCAGCATTTCCACCACATTTTGCGCAGTAGCGCATGAATGAAAAGCCGAAAAGCTTTGGGAGTGAAGGGAGGGTGGACATTGCGTGTGGGCAGAGGATTGGATTTGAACCGAATACCACTCCACCAAAAGAAGAGCGAGACCAAGCAAAGTCCAATAGTGAAGAAGAAATGACAAACACCGAAAAGAAAAACTTTTTATTAAATTAGTTTCGCAGAAAATAAGATTTCTATCCCAAAATCCGTGGCAATTTAGATGACTTGAGTGAGAAAAATGGTTTAATTTGATAAATATGTGCTTAGTTTTAGAGAACGAAAGTAGTCTAAAGTACTGCAATACATATTGTGATTAAATTACTCTCACAGGTGAGAGGTGGGCACACAGCACAAAGCTCGTGCTGGAGGGGCGTGAGGACCCTTCTCAGGAGTGCCTAATAAATCCTCTCAGATCAATACCTCAATTATGGAAACGGAGGTAAAGGACCAGGAGAATGGGGTGAAAAATACCCCAATAAAGCTTAACAATTAACATATATTTTAGCTGAAGGAAAGGACATTTAATTATATACAGAGATGGAACAAAGCAAGTGAATAAAAATCTCAGAGCTTCCCCAAAAGACAAAAGGGTGAAAATGGAGAAATTGCACCACAGCGTCTGTGTTCATTACAATTCATACCAGAAAATTGGACCAGACATTTAAGGTGTTTATATTGAAGGAGCAAAATACGGTTATGATTGGTAAAACGGCATCAGAAAAAATGAAAACATGCGTACATAAATTTTCCTAATCTGTTCCGAATAGAATAAAAAACATTTTGCCTAATATTTATTTATATTTGTCAAAGGTGGTGGTCAACTCTACGATCATAGGTGGATGGATCGTGGAAGTCTGAGGTGACGTTGATGAATCCATCTAATGCTACGGATCCACAAGTAGTTTTTTGGGTTTCTGATTTGGAGCAGGTTGAGAAGTGAGCCTGTAGAGTGGTAGCACTAAGTTTCACTCAGGGACACTTGGAGAAAAGATGTCTTTTGAAACGCTTGCCAGTTTTGTTTTTAAATAGAGGGAGTGCAGGATCGAAGTATGGGAGTTTGTAAGAGTGGCTGATCGGGGTCAAGCATTTTCCGTCTTCCATAATTTACTAAGACCTTGCCGTTAACTTTGGAGGCGTTCTCGTTGAAACAAAAAATTGCGAATGAAATCACTTACCAGAGCACATATTCTCACTGAATCGATCCGATGAGAGACTGTCAGAAGGGTTCCCTCTCCTATCACTGGCAATTTCGTTCTCAAATTGCTGAAATTGCTGTTGCATCCTCAAAGTCGTCGGTACTGCTCCCACCCGTCTGTGCTGAGTTCGTTTCGGTTTTTGACTGCGGTACCGCCGCGACATTCGTGGAGGCGGCAATAAATGCGTTATTGATTCATCCGCTGATTGGCTAAGAAATTCATCGTCCTGGATCTCGTTAATGACATCTACACCCCCTCCACAACCGCTACCAAAGCCGTTGTCATCGTCGCGGACAATTTCAAGATCACTCTGACAACAAGAAAGAATATCCTCATCAGAAAGTGGTGTAGCAGCCTCCTCGTCGGGCTTTTGAATCCTCAGAGTGACAATATCTTCCGAGGTTTGAAGTAGCCGTGCGGCATCAGTGATACTACAGGCCTCTAGAGAGACACCATTAACGGCGAGAAGGATGTCTCCCGGACCTATAGACCCGCACCGACTGGCCACACTTCCTGGAATCACTTTGCTGATTAAGAGAGGTTCGCCGGGCCGACTTTTTCTTGAAGCTATTGAACAAAGAATTTAAAACCATATTTACTCTAGATTGGACTTATTGCCTAATATTTGGCACCACTCCCTCTCAGAAAGGCACTTCATTCGTTGTTCTTATAAAGCTCTTAGAAATCTAATTCTACCTCAATTTTGTCCGGCAACTACCTACTCTGCTTCTTATGTGATCGTGATTCGTAGAAAGGCTAAAGGTCGCCACTTGAAGATACTCTACTGAAAGAAAGGAGGTGTCGCATTCTCTCTTCTGCTTTATTTTTCTTCTTCAAAGATAAAGAATTTGGTCTATTAGACCTTTTAATGATATGAGGCATAAATCTTGCATCGTCTTGAAAGGTTGTCTCGTATATATTGCCGCTTCAGGCAAAAAGGTCGCTTAGTTTTGTAAATGGGTAAATAAAGATCGGCAATGGTTGTTGCTGTTGTTTTTTTATTCATGCAAAAAAGAAGGGTTCCTGGTGAAAGATTGTAGGCAGTACACCTGCACACATACGCAATGGGTGTAGTCTTCAGCCGTCGATGGATGAAGTGCGCTCCAATGATAGTGTCCTGTACTGTATTGCAGCGGAGTACAAAATGGTGTGTCAGTCAACCAATCATTAACCCAGCCACCTTTTCTCCACTCATCCAGTCTGACAGTCAGCTACCCACACGAGCAACTGATTGAAAGGAAAATGGCGATAGTCGCCTCTCCAACCAGAGAACAAATATACTTTAGTATACACCATCTTTGTAATGGGGAAAGGGAAGCGAAGCACAACAGTGATGGGCAGTGAGAGTTGCATAGAGTCATCTCGAACAGTAGAGGCTGTAGCGGTGCATACAACTAAGCCACCCTTACTACTTTCTTTCTACACCGCATCAACTCTAAGCATCATGCAACGATCTCTATGCAGAATGCGCTTTCTATGGCACAAAGTCATTTTGTGACGTTCTAAAACAGTACCCTTTTGGCTTATAAAAAATCAGCGTCCCATTCTACACTTGGATAAAAGGCAGTGTTGAAATAGATCCGTGTGACTTTGAGAATACGCAAAATTGTGACATTTGTTTGCATGCATACATTATTAACTATGTACGGAAGGGCGACTGCCCTCTGGTGGTGTATCTTCCGCTCCATTCTCTTCGTCGTCATTGCTCTTCATATCCAAGAGTCATCGGTGAAATGGGATAGATTTACTCCGAAAATGCCTGTTCTCTTTCGATTTGTCTGTCCGCAAGAGCATTCTCATGAATATGTAAAAGAAAATGCTGAATAATGTGACAACAGGGGACCGCCCAACGCCAAGTGCATTACCATAAATAAAGGTTCTCTCTTTTCCATTCTAGCATAGCTTGCTGTCTCCTACTCCCTTCCCTTCTCTTTTCTCCTTTTTGATCCAATTATTGTAAAGAAATAAAGTGCCTCTCCCAAATAATGAATTAATTGGCGATGCATCTGTTTAAGACGATAAGCCAACTAAGGGAAGGCAAAGTAGTGACAGTTTTTAATGCAAAGGCCCCACACATCGGTATCAACAGATGGCGGGTAATGAGGATAGGAGAGGGAGATTGTCATTCACTGCTGTGTGACGGTGCTCACTGAAACCTGCTTGCTGTCAGATGTGTATTAACTGACGAGTGGTTACACATTCACCACTCACCCATTCACTTATTTGCCCATTTGTCATTGAACGTCGTCTAGCATGTGTGGTACGTGCTGTAGCTACATATTCACCAGAAAACAACCTGCTTTAAGAGATCAAGACAACAGCACCTCTGTTGACTTCCTCGGCACGATGAGACCATGCAGATGAACTATAATGCAGTATGGTACCTGCTACCTTTATTTTTTGCAACTAGCCAAATGAGTGGTGTGTCAAAGAGATTAATGCACTGCAAGTTGAATTTGACTGCGTTTTTGGTCATTTAAATCCACCTTCCATGCCTCCTACGTCACATTTGAATTTGAAACAAAGTTTAAATGTACCTTCTCCACCAAGTAGTATGATTGAAACAACATAACTGACTCTAATTAATTAAAGAGGGATTTCTAGATGTTGATTGGTTCTATTGCGATTACAATAGCATCGCCGAGATGGATAGCCAGTTTATGTCAAGTCCACGATGATGGTGGGGCTTATGAAGACGTCAAATATGTGAAATTCATAAACCTCCTTTTTGTAGAATTTTAAAGGTGTTGATAGGTATGTTCATGATGAAGATGACTATCCAGCCTTGATAACCTGTCAAGAGCAGTTAGTGGCGCAAACAACTTCCAGGGCTCGTGTCTTGCTCTTTTGAGTCGGAAATACACTGAACTAGCAACGGGCAAGTAATGTTAGAGAGCGAATACATCAGGTTTTATTAATAGCCTGAGCATTACAGGGTCACGATAACTTGGCACCCAAAGACCCACATCTCTTCCAGTCCCTCATTGGCCCCTGATGAGGTGTTATTGGTGGGCAAGCAAGTTGGAATTCGTCTGAAGCATTCTGTCCTGCCGACTGAGAGGACACAGCGAGTGGTGTGGAAGGGAGGGGGAAGAGGAGGGGAGCGTGAGGAGAGATAGTAATCTAGCAAACGTTCAGCCTTGAAGCAATGTCCAAATTTGGATTTAACATTTTTTTGTATTGTTTGAGTAATTAATCACTTTAATTCCAACTTTTCCTTTCAAATCCCCTGATTTCTGTGTTCCTCTCAAAACTTTGAATTATGAAAAAATTATTAGTGACCGGCGTTTAATGTCATTTTCAAAAGTCTCAATTAATTCTATCGCTCAGACCAGTCGATCACAGAGACCGACTGATGGAGTGAATAGAAGTTGTGTTAAAATGTTGTCTGTCAACGCACCTTGGAGGTTGATGCCAAGGCTGGCAGAGCGTTTAATGATTCGCACATCAAAGACGCCACTAGTAGGGATAACATTCTCAGCGACGGTATACTGTGTCACCAAGGCGAGGCGTCGACTGATAGCGTCAGTGGGGGGAGAGAGGTAGCGTGCCGTCAGTTTGTCGATAGTCTTGCCAAGTGGTGAATCGCCTTGAATGGCCAATAGCGAATCACCGGCCTGGATTACACCAGATCTAAGGATTGAAACGTGTTCGCTGTGAGTACTTTACATCCTCGATTCCTTCATCGTGCAACATGACCTGACGAATTTCGCTCACAGTTCTCCGGTATAATCATCCATCTGCTCGGTTCTCCGGCTCTTAAAACCATTTCCACTCCAGTTGTTTAAGACGTACAATTTAGGTAGATGTTCTGGTAGCAAAAGCGGAGGAGGATAACAGTAGAAGATGGAGGAGGTAAAAAGCAGAGTACCATTAAAGTTGAGTCATTTGACCTTTTGTGGTTACGAAACTGCCTTCGTCTACATTTAGCAAGTGTGTCGTTCGTCCATTCATCTGCTAACCAGTAAAGGGGACTTCAGCGCTTTTTTATTTTTGAAAAAGCTCCTTTTCTGCCATGCAAAGTGACAACCATTCACTTTCAATGCGGCGCAGCACAGCAGGAGGAGGATGTCACATGACAACTAGCAAAATTTAAAAGCCCAACTTAACCACACGTTTAGTTCCCTGTTTTTTGTTTCATCATGAGCAAAACATCAGCACTTAATCTAAAAATGAAAGTATTTCCATATTGGCTTTAAGCCAACTTTGTGAATTTGATATAAATAGTACATTCAATTAACAGAATAGGTTACCATTGTTTCAATGGAAGTCCGGCACGGTAAACATGACTTGACTTATCTGGCAGTGGAGAGGGTGATTGGGGTGTGAGAGCATTAAAGGTTACGGTGACCAATAAGTCTACTTATCTAAGAGCAACAATTTCTTCATTCATTCCCAAACATTTCCTACAAAAACACCAGTTTGAGAGGAAGCAAAATCATTCCTATTCTTCTGGTTGGCTGTAACCCCAGACAATGCGGTTAGGCGTTAAGGGTGCGTGAGGGTGGGAGGGCGATGGAAAATGGTGGATTTTAATGCCAACATGCAGATCGCTGAAGTTATGTCCAAAGAAGAAATGTGCATTTTATTACCGTAGGCACGATAAAGGCATTCGAAAGCATTGCTGGGTCAGTCAGCTTGAACTGACCAGTACAATTGTGAGCCCTCTAAATACTCCGCTTTAATAGCCACCGTTTGCCTCTTAAAGGCTTTAATAATATTCACAGCCACATCTAATCACTTATTTTACTAAAAAGAACATGAAGCAAAATTGAACATATTTTCCAATCAAGTAGACGAAAGTTAGTACTTATAGACCAAAATGTGATATTCTCTGAACACTACCTTGTTGTAATGGTTGGCAAGACTTGAAAGTAGACAATGATTATCTGAGACAACCCATTCGATCCAAAGCTATTCAATTTTGAAAGAATTATTGCGGCCCTTTGCACTGAAAATGACTTGACGTTTCAAAGTGCTGTCCGTCTGGAAGAAGATAGCATGGCCTCATTAAAAAGGCTAAACTAAACTGTAATTTTGCAAGAAGTTACGATGCTACCGACGTGGCTGGATAAAAATAAAGTAAACACGGGGGAAGTCCTGTATTTTTTGAGGATGCAAGGGAAGAAGTGTGGAGGCAAAAGCACCAAAATAAAGCCCTCGAATTCGGTGGTTACTCTGAATGCATCGAAAGTATGATGTTTCAAACGGCCAGTCTGTCAGATGTCCTTGATAATAAAGTTTCTTCATTCTTTACTTGATTTGAGTTGACGGTTTAGCCCTATCCTCTTCTTACTGGATTAAGAGATGCATTGCAGTGCATTTTCAGGTGCTTCATTCGACCACCTACGCCACAGTATTATTCAAAGTCAAGTCTCTGATGCTTAAAGTCAGTTGTCGAGATAGCGGAGAGTCTCCAAGGTACTT